ACAAAGGAGCCCCTTAGGTCTGCTCCCCGTGGGAGGGCTCACGGAAGGTTCTGGAAAATCGCTCCTAATCATCCCAATTCGGGTGTGGCAGGGGCTTGTTTGTGTTTGGGGCTGCCTTGGAGATGAGAGGGCTCGGGGCCAGCAAAGGGGAGCACCAGCGTTTTCTGGAATGTTCCAGGCCCTGCCAGGCCAGGGAGGCACAGGGAGCTGGGTGGGGGAGGGGGTCTGCCACCCCGGCAATGGTGGTCTCTGCTCTCAGCAGCCAGGAGGCCCTGCATCCTTCAGCTGCCTCCCTGGCCTCGGGGAGTGGGCGGGGGGTGCTTTTCCTTTGCTCCTGAGCCATGTACCACGTCGGCCAGACCCCTGCAGGAGCCCCCATACCTGATGAGCCCATAGCTCCGCGGGCCGGGTTCTTCCTGGGGGCCGTTCTGCAGGGGACCCCAGAAGGCTGGAGCTGGCAGTGCGCCCCCAAGAAGCAGGAGCCCTGGGCAGGGGCTGGGCAGCCAGGCTGGCCTGGGGAAGGCGTGAGGGACTGCAGGTCCCTTTAATTTTGGAGGCCACACCCAGAAGTGCTCAGGAATCACTCCTGGCTCTGTGCTCAGGAATCACTCCTAGCTCTGTGCTCAGGGCTGACTCCTGGCTCTGCGCTCGGGGCTGACTCTGGCTCTGTGCTCAGGGCTGACTCCTGGCTCTGTGCTCAGGGCTGACTCCCGGCTCTGCATTCAGGGCTGACTCCCAGCTCTGTGCTCAGGGCAGACTCTGGCTCTGTGCTCAGGAATCACTCCTAGCTCTGCGCTCAGGGCTGACTCCTGACTCTGTGCTCAGGGCTGACTCCCGGCTCTGCATTCAGGGTTGACTCCCAGCTCTGTGCTCAGGGCAGACTCTGGCTCTGTGCTCAGGAATCACTCCTAGCTCTGCGCTCAGGGCTGACTCCTGGCTCTGCGTTCAGGGCTGACTCCCAGCTCTGTGCTCAGGGCAGACTCTGGCTTTGTGCTCAGGGCTGACTCCCGGCTCTGTGCTCAGGGCTGACTCCCGGCACTGCGCTCAGGGCTGACTCCCGGTTCTGAGCTCAGGGCTGACTCCTGGCTCTGTACTTGGGGATCACTCCTGGCAGTGCTCGGGGGGCCCTATGGGGTGCCAGGGACCAAATGCGCGTCAGAAACATGAAGGCCAGTGCAGCCCTTGTGCCTCTGGGCTGTGCCCTCCTCAGAGCAGGGGGCTGAGGCAGGGCCCTGGGGCCCGCAGGGAGCATGAAGCCCCCGGCAGACGTGGGCTGGGGCAGAGCTCTGCCGCGGCGCTGAGTGGGACGAGGTGTTGGCAGCACCATGAGGCCCCGCAGCAGAGGGCGGGAGGCCCGGGAGGGTCTGGGATCACTCGGTCAGGGTCAGCCGGTGTCCCTGGAGGAGCCACTGTCTCCAGGACTGGCAGCCCCGGGGGCGGGGGAGGGTAAAGCCGCTGACAGGGGCTCCGGAGGGAGAACCGGGCGGGAGGGGCCGCGGTGGCCGGCAGCCAGGAGCACGAGCTGCCCCCAGGACCCGGCAGCTGGCCAGAGCCCGCAGGCGACCACTGAGGAGGCTGTGGGGGGGTGCTGTTTGGGGGAGGGGCGCAGGAAGGGGAGGGGGCTGTGCATGGGTGCTGCCGTCTGCAGGTGGGTCTGAGGTGGGGGTGGTGTCTGTGTCATCACTGTTGCCTCTGCCCTCAGCTGAGCCCTGATGTGGGGGCGCCTGCACCTCCCCCCACGCAGGGGCACAGGGTGCTACTGGGGCAGCAGCATCAGGCGGTGCCCAGGCCTCCGGGAGAAAACCTGAGAGCTACTATGGGCGCCCAGCGGGGAGCAGGGGTGAGGGGCACCCGGTGGGGAGCAGGGGTGGGGTGTGGCCACCCCATCCCAGAAGTGCTGTGAGGGATGGACCGTGTTGGGGACACGCCATGTAGCTCTTGGCACCGCAAAGAACATCTGATGTGAGCGAGGCAGAAGCCGCCCCTGCCTGCCCCCTCAGCCCAGGGCCCCCTGGGGCCCCCTGCCCAGCCCCCAGTGTGAGGGGCCTGCGAAGGCATCAGGACTCCTGCCCCCACCTGAGGCCCTCAGCAGCATCTGCACCCACCCTGCCCCCTGCTGGCCGTGCCTGGGGGGACATGGCTTGGAGGCAGGTGTGAGGGTCACCTGGGTCAGACCCTAGAGTGGCCTCTTGCACTGCCCGCAGGCCCTGGACTCCATCTCCTCCTGGAGGGGCTCAAACCTTGAGGAGCAGAGTGGCCCGAGGCCGAGACTAGCTAAGCCGAATCACTGCCCAGACCTTCCTGCCCCAGTGGGCCTGTGGGTCCCTGCACCCCTCCCCGACCCTGCCCTGGTCAAACATGTAAACGCGTCTCTGGCCTCCATCCAGCCCACAGCCCCCAGCCCAGGCGCCCGGGAAGCTCCTGCTTCTCCCTCCCCACCAGGGCGCCAGGCCCTAACTCAGGGGCACTGTGGGGCCGCACCCCAGCCCAGCACCGCTTCACGACGGGTCTCTGCAGAGACGCCAAACTAACAGGGTTCCAGGCAAACCATCTTCCGGGGCCTTTTCAGGGCGGGGAGGGCAGACCCCCCTCAGATCCTGGGGGTCCCCAAAACACCCGCAAACTCCACAAGCCCGACAGCCCAGCAGCACTGTGACATGCACCAAGTAAGCTCAGGAAACGGTCACTCAAGGTCCAGCCAGACACAGAGCCACAGCCTGACTTGGAACAATTCTCACAGGTTTCCCTTTAATGAAGGTTTTTTTAAAAATTGCATTAGAAATTATTTGTAACAAGCAATATCAAATAAATTATTTTGTGCTGGCTTTGGGGTGGGGGAATGGAGCCAGTGGTGGAGGGAAGGGCACACGGCGGCAGTGGAGGGTTAGGACGGGACACTGCATACATGCCTGAAGCAACTGCACCATGAACCACTTTGCAAAGTCGCATTCAAATAGAGAAGAAAAGGAACCCGAAAGGGCCACGAGGCCTCACTAGCTCCCACAGGGCCCAAGCGATGCCTGCAGGGGACAGGAGTGACCACGCCTCCGGCCTCCACCCAGCCTGCAGACCCACGCACCCCCCTGCCCCACTGCACGCAGCCCCGAGAGAATCAGGGTGGTGCCCAAGGCTGCCGTCCCGCGGACAGGATCACAGGCTGCAGCTGTGATTTCTATTTTTCGAGATTGAGGGGCCGCCCCCAGGAGAGCTCAGCCTTGCATGGGGCACCATCGCTCCTGCCTTTTTCCTGAGCCCTAACGTTTTATTTGTAAAAGAAAAGAAAAGGGGGGCAGGGTGGGGAGAAACAGTACAGCTGATAAGGCGCTCACTTTGGATGTCCGTACGGTCCCCTGAGCACGGCCAGGGGAGATCCCTGAGTGCAGAGCCAGGAGGATGCCCTGAGCATTGCCAGTGGTGCCCCCAAACAAGAAAACAGGAGAGAAGGAGAGAAGGAAAGAAGGAGAGACAGAGAGAGAGAGAGAAAGAGAGAGAAGGAGGAAGGGAAGGAAGAGGGAGGGAGGGAGTGAGGGATGGAGAGAAACAAAAAAAGGTACAAAGGAAGGAAAGAAGGAAGGAAGGAAGGAAAGAAGGAAGAGAGGGAGGGGAAAGAAGGAAGGAAGGAGGGAAGGAGGGAGGGACGAAGGAAGGGAAGGAGGGAAGGAGGGAGGGACGAAGGAAGGGAAGGAGGGAAGGAGGGAGGGACGAAGGAAGGGAAGGAGGGAAGGAGGGAAGGAGGGAGGGATGAAGGAAGGGAAGGAGGGAAGGAGGAAGGGAAGGAGGGAAGGGGGGGCCCAGAGCAATAACTCAGTGGTCAGGGCACCTGCTTTGCATGTAGCCAACCTAGGTTCCAACTGGCCACATCCATGGTTCCTAGCAAGAGTGACCCTGAGCACTGCAGGTGTGGCCCAAGCCAGAAAGCCCAGGGAAGTGTGGGAGACACGCAGGGTCCTCAAAGCACTCAGGGCCCGCTACCCCTCCCCCAGCACCATCCTGGGCCCAGCCCTGTCCTCTCTGGGCCACCACGGTCACCCCCAGCTGGCGCAAGGTGCCACCCCATGTCCCCAGGCCTGGCCACCTCGGGCTTCTGTCCCCGTCCCTGAGAAGGCTGCAGGCTGGGGGCAGCCCCGGGTCCTGAACCCAGTGGGACCCCCTGCCCCTCCCTGAGGCTCTTCCACCCAAGGACTTGGGAAGGACACGAACTTGACCCTGGTTGACTGCCCTTGAACTTGACTCCTGGGGAACAGGAGGCCGCAGGGAGGGGTGTGGAGAGCAGGTCAGGACACCCCTCTGGTCCTGGGGGGTCTGCAGCAAAGCAGGGGAAGGCGCTGTCCAGGACCCATGTGCTCGGGCCCCGGCTTCTGAGTGGACGCTGCTTGTCCTCGCCTCTGGTGGGCAGCCGCCACGGCCCTTCACGCAAGACAGGAGACCGGGAGGAGGGTCCAGCCCAGCGTCCTGGTGGGGTCGGCCCTGGGGCGTTTCCAGGAGGCAGGTCACGGGGGCCTAGAGAGCCACCCTGGTCCCACTGCCCTCACGGACCCGGCCACCCTTGGGGGACAGAAGCTCCCGCTGGCCGCCCTTCTGCCGGCTGACCAGGCCATGTCTGCTCAGGCCACTGCCCCCAGCACAGCCACCGGGACGGGCGGGAACTCTGCACACGCCATGCCAGAGGCCTCGAGGCCTGAGACAAGATAGCGGGAGGGTGCCGCCGTGCTCACTACGGACCAAGGGCCAGCCCTGAGCCTGCCAGGAGGGACCCCTGAGCAGAGAGTCAGGAGTCAGCCCTGAGCCCTACTGGATGTGGCCCAAAGTCAAAACAAAAATCATCAAAGGCAAAGTGTAGGGTCCTGGAAGGAGAGGGGGTCACAGAGTGTCCCCAGGTGGGGGTCGCATAGGATGTCCCCAGGTGGGGGTCCCAGAGAATGTCTGCAGGTGGGGGTCACAGAGTGACCGCAGGTGGGGGGTCACACACAGCGTCCCAGGTGGGGGCGCCCAGGCCATACCTGTCATGCCCTTTTCAAAGTAGGTCTGGATGACCTCGCCAAGGTTGTCCTGCGCGGCCACGGTCTCCTTGAGCAGCTGCCCGCAGCAGACTGGGGGAGAGAGAGACACGGTCGGGGGTCCGGGGGTCAATGGGAGAACCCCTGAGAGAAACCTGGGGACCCCGTGGGACCCCAATAGTCCACTGAGGCAGGGATGTGCCCCCCAGGCCCAGCAGGGCTGCCTTAACAAAGCCGAAGAACAGTCAACTGGCCACACTCCATGCCCACCCCACCCTTCTGTGTTCACCCAGCAACTGTCCACTCCTGTCCAACAGGTGGAGGCGTGGGTCACCCCTCGCAAGCTCGGGAGCCATACGTGGTGGTGGGAGGCGACAAGGCGAGCGCCATCCCCGCCGTACTGGGGACCCAGCCCGGGACCCGACTCTAACTCAGTGGTAAGGCTGGGGCTGCCCCCTCCCCACAGTCGAGGACAGACAGACACAGCGGATGGGGACAGACAGACACCGCACGAGGGGCAAAGGACCACTCCCCCCTCAAGCCCAGACCCCTGGCCCAGGCCAGCACAGACCAGCTGGAGCTTAGAACAGCTGGACAGAGGCCAAGGGACGGGGCCACATCAACCGGAGCCGGAGAGAAGACCAAGCCCGGGTCACAGAGAGTCCCCGGGTGGGGGTCACATAGGATGTTCCCAGGTGGGGGTCACAGTGTCCCCAGGTGGTGGTAAGACCAAGTCGGAGAGAAGAACCCGGGAATCGCGGACAGGAAAGCCAGCCCGTTTGACTCTATTGCTCTACTGTGCTTTTAAGGCCACACCCAGGGGCGGTCAGGGGCTAGTCCAGACTCTGCCCCAGGACCACAGGTGCCAGGAAGCCGTGTCCCTCACACTCAGCATCCACTCCCGCCTTTGCGGTCAGTCCCCCAGCCCCAAGGACAGTATCTTGAATGCAGGAAATGCCGGAGTGATAGCACAGCAGGTAGGGCATTTGCCTTGCAAGCAGCCAACCCTGGTTCAATCCCCGGCATCCCATAGGGTCCCCCGAGACCGCCAGGAGTGATTCCTGAATGCAGAGCCAGGAGGAACCCGAGCATCACTAAAAAGCTCCCTCCCCCTCCCCCCAAAAAAAGCCTGGCTGGCTGCCACAAGGAAACCTCTAAAACATCTGAACCTGAATGAAGTCGCGGTGTGGAGGGCCTGTGGGGAGGACATTGTCCAGGAAATCTACCCAGCCACAGGGGGTCTGCGTGCCCGCGGGGTACCAGAGACGGAGGGTGGGGGCACCCAATCACATCGGAACAATGACATCTCAAAGTCAGATTGAGATTATCAACCCCAACCAACGTGGATATCCCGGGAGGTCACTCTCCCCGGGCACTGTCCAGGTGGCATAGGGGAGCACAGGGCTCAGCCCGGTGACGTACAGTCCCTTTCCACACCGTTGGAGATCAAGCCGGGCCTCAAGTCTGTGCCTGCACATTCCTACAGCTTCCCAGAGTCCTCTGGACCATGACTGGGGAGACAAACCATGCAGGAAACAGCTCTTTAGAGCAACCAGTCGGTCTGGATGTAAACTTGAAATCAGACTTTATTTTAACCCACCCAGTGTACTGGTGGATTAAGCTCTTGATCTTGTTTTGAAGCTTTTGAAGCAATTCCAGATGATCTGACTTGGAAAGAAGAGGATCCAGATCTCCGCGTGATTGGATCGTTTCTTTTTTTGTTTTTTCTTTTTGAGTCACACCCGGCAATGCCCAGGGCTTACTCCTGACTCTGTGCTCAGGAATTACCTCTGGTGGTGCTCAGGGGACCCTATGGGATGCTGGGAATCGAACCCGGATCGGACGCCTGCAAGGCAAACACCCTACTGGCTGTGGTATTGCTCCATCCCCTGTGATTGGTTGATTTCTAACTTTAGATTTCTTAATTTGATAGAAAGGTAAAATTGAAGGATGTATGCTGGGGTTATATTGTTTTGAGATTCTGAGCTAAACTTGAGCCCCCGGTTCACTAAGTGATGTGACCTTTCTAAAGAATACCTACATTTCTGGTGGGGGCGGTTACACTCATCAATGCTTGGGGATCTCTCCTGAGTGCTTGGGACTGCATAGGATATCAGTGATTAGACTCAAGAAAGTCCAAGCCAGCCTATCCACTGTGACCACTTTTTGGATTTTTATGTATTTCTGGATGGGACATGAAAGCCCCTGAAAAGGTGATCTTGCGATGTATTTACGAATTTCAATAAAGGTGATTACTTGTTAAAAAAAAAATATATATATATATATATCAACCCCAGCCAGAGCAATGGGGCAGCGGGCAGGGCGCTTGCCCTGCACGTGGCTGGCCAGGATTGATCACAGCAGGAGTGACCCCTGAGCACAGAGCCTGGAGTCAGCCGCGTATGGACCAAAAAACAAAACAAGAATATCAACCTCCAGGTCCCCAAATCCCAGGCAGAACAAACACAAAACACGCCAGGTGGGCTCCACCGTGGGGGACGCAGAGAGAGCGAGTCAGAGTGGGCCGGGTGCCTTCTGCAGGGGGCGGCGGTCAGGACCAGCATTCTGGCGCCTTCCAAGGGCCCGGGGACCGGCCCGGGGTCCCCACAGGCGGCAGCACCCTCCATCCTCCCCGCGGGAAGGCAGGGCTGGGGGTCTCTCAGTGCCAGGAGCTCCTGCGGCCGAGCCCCCGGCGGGGTTGTGCAAAGAGGCAGCCCCAGCCCCACCCGCCTCCGGGGGGACCCACACTCGGACCCAGTGAGTGCCGTTGGGGCGAGCAGAGCTGCCCGGCCACCCCGAGCCCCGCCCGGAGGGACCCCAAACACCCAGAGAAACTCCGGGGACGCCCCTGGCTGGAAATCTGTGCGGGGGGAGGGCACTCGCCTTGCACGCGGCCGGCCCGGTTCGAACCCGAGCACCGCCAGGAGCGGTTCCTGAGCACCGCCGGGTGTGACCCCCGAAGAAATTAAGCCCGTGCCCGCCCTGACCGAGGCCTGGAGACGCGGCCCGACGGTCCCGAGCGACCCTCTCCCTGCTGCGCCCTGCCCGGGAGCCCCCACTCCTGAGCCGACGCCCAGCCCCTGCACTGCTCGGACCCGGGTCCCGGAGCCTGGCCGCGACCAGGTGACGCCCCCGGCTCTGCGTCCCGCCCCGCCCCGTAAAGCGGTTTTCTCGCGTTCATTTGGCAAAACGTGGTGAGAACGGTGGCGGGGGAAAGCACAGAAAAGGGGCCAGGCGCCCCTGCCGCTCGCGCCCCTCCCCGGAGGCCGGGGCCGAGGGCTAGTGCGGGGTCCCCTCCCAAGGCACAGCCCCCACCGCGGGGCCCGCTGCGTTTCCAGGTGTCCATCTCTCCCCAGATGGACGCAGGTCCTTCCAATTCTCCGAGATCAAGGAGCTGCAAACAATTCAAACCCTTGAAGGTGACGTCATCCGCGGGCGGGGCCTAACCCGCCTGACGTCATCCGAGGGGGCGGGGCCTAACACGCCTGACGTCATCCGCGGGGAGCTCGGCTGCTTTTCTCCAACGAGGACCCACAGGAGCAGAACGAGGCGCAGGTGAGGCCGTGGGCCACGTCCTGACGTAGCCACGAGAAACAAACGCAAATCCACGAGAACCACGGGGGAGCCCGCCCTGTCCGCGCGCCCACGGGCAAGGCCAGCGGGGAAGCAAGGGCTGAAGAACTCGGCCTCTTCACACCCCAAACGGCGGGGCCGGGGCGCCCGCACTGCATGGCCACCCAGATTTGGACCCGTCGCCCCCTCGGTCCCCGAGCCCCGCCAGGAGTCGGCCCCGAGCAGAGCAGGGTGTGACCCCAACTCCCCCCGGAAGGAAAGGTAATGCATGCAAAAGCATCTTTGTATCCAGAAGGTTCCAGACTGTTCTTGCCCGCTAATCAGAACAACGGCAGAGTTCCATACATTGTGGGTGGGTGTGATTTCTCCCCTTGTTTCGCTCCCCCTTCTGATATTGTGATGCTTGGCCACAGTGCTCCCAGGGTCTGCTCCTGCTGTGATGATTGGCAACTGTGCTCCCTGGGGTGTGCTTTTGCAGGGGTGCTCAGCTGCAGTGCTCCTCAGGTCTGCTCCTGCAGTGGTCCTCAGCCACAGTGCTCCCTAGGATGCTCCCTGCAATGTTCAGCTTTTGTGCTTCTGCAGTGGTGTTCAGCCACAGTGCTCCCTGGAGGGTGTGCTCCTGCAGTGATGCTCAGCCACAGTGCTCCCTGGGGTGTGCTCCTGCAGTGGTGCTCAGCCACAGTGCTCCCTGGGTGTGCTCCTGCAGTGGTGCTCCTGCAGTGGTGCTCCTGCACCCACTAGCCGAGGCTCCCACCCAAGTTGAGGCACAGTCAGCTGTGGAGCTGCCAGGGGCTCTTGGGGTCACACTCGCTGACTGCGACGCTGGCTTGTCCTGGCTGCTGTGCTCTGGGCGCCGCAGCTCTCCCCATGGTGCTCACACAGGCCAGTCCTAGGGGCCACTCACGGCAGATCTCGGCACCTCAGGCCCCCACGGCAAAGGCCTCACAGACAGGCCGTGCTCGAGGCATGGGACCCGGGGCTGCAGCCCCACCCAGCCTGGCCCCATGCACTGGCCTCCGCCACTGACGTCCAGTGTCACTGGTCTGCGGTGTGGGTGTGTCGCAGCTGGGCTACGGACACCTCTGCACTCACATATGGCAGCAGGTGAGTTTGGGGGCGTCTCTAGGCACATTTTACATATCTGGGGGTGAAATCTCACGCCTCTGTGAGGGGGACAGGCCCAGTGGTTCTCAGGGCTGACTCCCGGCTCTGTGCTCAGGGATTACTTCTGGCTGGGCTTTGGGGATCGAACCCAGGTCGGCTGCGTCCAAGGCGGGCACCTTCCCCAGTCAACACTGCAGCCATGCCATGCTTCCTGGGGAAACTGAGGCTACCTAGGCCGCTGCCCCGAAGGTTCCACCCCAGGCCACGGGGGTGCTCCCAGGGGGGAGCCGGAGGTTGCAAAGTTTCTGATTTCAATATCTTCTCCCCACCTGGTGAAATATTTATTGAAATTGCACAGGGCAGCAGTTAGGATGGAGAAGGAACCAATATGACAATAAGAGCTGGAAATGACACTGGACAAGAACTGAGTGTTGGAAGTAGGTAAAGAGACATACATGATAACCTTTCAGTGTCTGTATGGCAAACCAGAATGCCCAAAAGGGGGCGGGGGGGGGGAGAGAGAGAGAGAGAGAGAGAATGCCTGCCATAGAGGTGGGGTGGGGGTGAGTAGGGAACACTGATGGTGGGAGTGTGCACTGGTGAAGGGACTGTGTTGGAACACTGTATGACTGAAACCCAACCATGCATAGCTTTGTAACTGTATCTCATAGTGATTCAATAAAAAACAAATAAATACTTTTTTTGTTTTTAATGTAAAGAGATGAAAAAGAAAAGAAAAGGAGAAAGAGAAACTGCTGCACGGGACAAGAAGCTGAACACTGATCCCCAAGCCGTTTGCCTGGAAAGGGGCTGGGTGGGAGGAGGGTGGGGCTTCCTGGGGGGCAGGAGGGCGGGACCACCAGGACAGCAGAAAGGCGCCCTTCGAGAAGGCCCTGGCTCCCCGGGCGTAGGAGGTGGCCAGGTGGTGCTCCCACGCACTCCTGGTGGAGACGACCTGCCTTCTGCCCTAACAGGAAATGGGGCATGGGAGGAGCGTCTGCGGGCTGTGGACACTCACCGTCCACGAGGCCGTATCTCTGGGCCAGGAGGGCGGCCTGCAGCTTCCTCCCGCTGCCCACGGGCCCGAGCAGCACCACCCGCGGCGTGAAGGGGGCGTTGGACCGGTGGCTGCTCTGCACGTAGGTCAGAGCTGGGGAGAGAGAGAAGGACGGTGAGCTGGGCGCCGGGCAGAGCACCCGTGGGCTCAGGGCTCCCGCAACCGGCCTGCGACACACGGGGCGCACGGGGACACTTGCCGGAGCACAGCGGGCTGGGATGCACCCCAGAGCCTGGGGCCTGGCCTTCTGGGCGTTGGCAGCCGCGGGGGCCAGTGTGGGGATGAGCTGTGCCACACTCCGGGGACCTCAGTTTGGCTGCAAATTTGCAAAGCCGCCAAGATCAAACAGGCCCCAGAGCAGAGCTGGAGTTACACCCTCCCGCCCCATGCCCCCCATGAGCAAGGCCAAGGTGATGGGGGTGGGAGAGAGATTCCCCACGAACAGGCAGCCGGCCGGCCAGAGGGCGCATCTTTGGCACCCGCTGAGCCCCAGGGCCCGTGTCGGACCCGCCTGTCAACCCCAGGGACACGGACCATCACATACGCCGGGCCAGCAGCGCAAGGCCATGTGGCACTGCCTCTGCCTGGGGCGAAGGGCAGAGCTGACGTGCCCCCAAGCCTGCACCCAGCCAGAGCCCCTGGAACCTCCCATGTATGACAACAGGAATGGGCACTGAGGGCCGCCGAGGGGGCTGGCGAGTCTGTGCAGGGCATGTTGGCCCCCGCTTAGTGTAAGGCTCCTGGCTTAGTGGCTGCTGGACTCGGGGCCATCTCGGGTCATGTCCACCCTCCTGCCTCCCTCCAGGGAAAGGAGCCTGGCGGGCAGCGGGCGCCTTGTGCCGGGACCCGCCTCTCCACGCGTCTACACCCGGGGCTTCGCTCGTGGTAAACAACCGCGTTCGTTAATCAGGAGCACTGATCCCCGACAGCCGCCTCGCCCATGATTCTTCTCAAAATCACGGGGCTGCTGGCAGCCAGCAGAGAGAGGAGAAAAACAGCAACGGGAGAATTTCCATCTCTCTCTCCCCCTCTGCATGATTAATTAATAATAATTAATATTCAAATGCTCACGCCTTTGTTTACAATTCTGGGCATGAATTCTTTATGAATCAGCGGAGGAACACAAACGTGATTAAGTAATTTGGAAGTAATTAATGGATAAACTCCGAGTCGGACCCTAAGTAAAGGGGGTTTTCTGTCTTCGGGCGGCTCACAGGAACCCCCAGACGGGAGGCTGGCAGAACACTGCCTGAGGGCCACACCCCCCAAAACCTCAGCCCCAGGATGTGAGACGCAGAAGGCTCTGGGGGGACCAGGGCCTGTGGGTGGGCGGGCCGTGGCCTGGAGCTGCGGGGCAGGAGCGGGGGACTGGGGGTGCCCCGAGACTGTCAGGGAGCAAAGGACTCTACAGCGGGAAGGACGCTGGCCTTGCATGCGGCCCACCGGGTTCAATCTCTGGCACCACATAGAGTCCCCCCCGAGCACAGAGCCAGGAGTCAACCCTGAGCACAGAGCCGGGAGTGAGCCCTGAGCACAGAGCCAGGAGTGAGCCCTGCACAGAGTCAGGAGTCTGCCCTGAGCACTGCCAGATGTGCCCCTGACCCTGAAAATAAAACCCAAGCTGCTGGAAGCCGTGGGTGCCCTCCTCGGGGGCGCACGGCCCTGCCCCTCGCGTCTCGGCTCAGGCTGTCGGACACGCAGAGCCGCAACTCTGCAGCTGCCGGCCAGGCTGTGGGTGCAAAGAGGCCAGACCACGGGATCCGACACCCCAAGCCAGGCCCCGCTCTGCTCCGGTGTCAGGGACAGAGATCTGGGGAGACCACCCAGCGTGGTGACCCCCACGCCAGCCTGCACCCCGTCCTTGAGCCCAGGGTCTGCCTCTGTCCATCCGGACACTAGGGTCACTGTCAGGGGCTGGGAAGCAGGGAGGAGGAGGGAGGGGGTCCCTGGTGACCATCACCCAGAGCACTGACCCTGGTAGAAGACGTCCATGCACGGCTGGTCAGCGCTGATGGCCTTCAGGATCCTGGAGTACGCAGGGGTGACCTCGGCGATGTTCCTGTGATATTCCAGGAGTCTCTTCGCCGTCTCTGGTTCTGAGATGCCCAGGGGCATGATGAGCCGGTTCTGGACGTCCACATCCGAGGGCCAGTCAAAGGTGGTGTGGTAAATCTCTGCAGAGAAAGGCCGGTCGCCTACCAGACCCAGGGACACCACAGCACCTGACCAGCCTAGGTGCCCACTCCTGATGACCTGACAGGACACTGGTGGTGCCAGCCAGGATGGGTGGCCTGAAGGGTTAGGGTTCGGGCCTCTTAGAGTCTCTGGGTGCTATATGGGGTAAAGTTAGGGTTAGGATTGGGGTAGGGTTAGGGTTGAGCTAGGATTTGGGTTGGGATATGGTTAGGGTTGGATTAGGGTTAGTGTTAGGGGTTAGGGTTGGGGTAGGGTTAGCACTAGGGTTAGGGCCTCTTCCATAGAATCTCTCTGGGGGGCTGTTTTGGGTTAGTGGTAGGGTTAGGTTTAGGGCCTCTCTCGGGGGGGGGTGTTTGGGGTAGGTTAGGGTTAGGATTAGGGTTAGGGCTGGGTTGGGTTAGTGTTGGGTTTGTCTTAGGGTTCGGGTTAGGGTAGGGTTAGGGTTGGGTTTGTGTGAGGGTTAGGGTTAGCATCAGCGTTAGGTTTTGGGCTAGGGGCTCTTCCATAGAATCCCTCTGGGGGCTGTTTGGGGTCATACCTCCAGTTCTGGGGTCGATTCTCTTGCCCAGGTTTCTCTCAATGAGGACCATGTCTGGGGCCTTGAGCACAACTGCGCAGATGGCGGAGCAAAGTTCGGTGTAACTGGGGACACCCGCTGGGCGCACCTGCAGCAGCCTTGTCGCCCCTGCTGGTCCCTGCCCGGCCATGGGCTGCCCAAGGCTCTGCCCGGCTCCCTGTGTCACCAGGCGACCCAGCGTCTGCCCCTCTCCCGCCACTTGGTGGCTCCTTCCGAGACGGAGTCTGGGTTAAGCGTCTCCCCTACGGCACAGGAGGGACTGGCCCAGCACCCTGGTTTGTCTCACGAAATAGCACTGGCTGCTTTTACATCATGAACAGTTGCTGCGGGCTCCTGCTTCTCGGTCCTGCGGGTCAGGGGCTCCCAGAGTCCCCGCAGGCCCCTCTCATGCCCCAGGGGCAGGGCCTGCAGTGCCAGTGGAGGGCCGCGGGGGGCTACTCACTGACATGGCGGGGGCTGACCCCCACCGTCTGGCTCATCAGGGTCTCCTCCCTCGTCTGGGGGATGCTGTCCAGAATCCAGCCCTAGGGGACAAGCAGAAAGCGCCGCCTGCTCTTGTTTTGATGGTTTCGGGACATAAATATCAAAGGGGGGTTGGGGGCCAGAGAAATAGTCCGGCTGGTAGGTGTTTGCCTTGCACGCGACAGTCCCAGGTTTGATCCCCGGCATCCCACACAGTGCCCCGAGCCACCAGGCGTCATTCCTGAGTGCAGAGCCAGGAGTGAGCCCTGAGCACTGCTGTGTGCCCCCAAACAAACAAGCGAGCCACAACCAAAACCAAACAGGCCTTCCTGCAGGCCCAAGAGTGGCACGCCAGATGCCGGGCCCGTCCACCCAGGCTCCCCAGCCACTCCTCCCGGGAGGGTAGTGGCCCATTTGCTCCCTTCCCTGAAGACACTGAACGTTTTCCCAGCTCTCAGCAACTCTGCTCCAAGCATCGCGGGGATTTCCCCCGGACTTGGACAAACAGACCCCATCTGCTTGCACACTGGGGTTCAGAAAAGCCTTTCACCCTACGGAAACGTGTCCATGAAAAGCACAGCAGACGCGCGGAAGACCGATTTCTGAACATTGATTCAATGTTATGACATCACTGCATTTTGCCACGACACCCTCCAAAGTGGCCCCACCCAGGCCAACAACCCCCACGACAGGCATTATTGTAGGGAATCACTCCAGAAAACGAGAATCTACCGACATCCTCTTCTCTGGTCATTACTGGGGCTCAGAGCTTCCTCGTGTGTTTACTATTCGAATCTTCCTTTCCAATGGTTTGTGCAAGCCATTACTCCCGGCCCCTGGAGTGCGGGCTTTTATTACAAGAGATCTTTACCGTGAAGGGCATGATCCCTTGTGACCAACACCTCCTCAGGCCTATGAGCTTGTCTGGCCTTCTGATATCATCCGTGGTATTGCTTTCAGCACATATTTTGAACCAAATCCATCTACATTTTCCTCTTTGGATTCTGGCACAGCATAAATCCATGAAAGTTCTTTCCCAGTGCCAGGGTTAGGGAACACGGGTGTTAGGCGACTCTCGGAGCTCCCTGCACACTGACTACGCCGGAGGGTCACGTGTGATTTTGGAAATGGGGTAAGGCTGGACCCTGGGTGGTTCCCCTGAGGCCTGCAACACTCCCAAGGGCCTTGGAAACAACCCACACCCCAAACACATTGTCTCCCCAGGCCAGCAGCCTCCCCCGAGGGACCCTGCACCCCTTAAGGTCTGTTGCGCCAACAGGTCCCACCTTCCTGTGACACTCTCCAGGGGCAGGGAGAGGGCAGCGGGGAGGGCGCTGGCCTGGCACGATCCTGGCACCGCAGACGGTCCCTGAGCCCAGGCCCCTAGGAGTGCGCACAAGGGCAGAAGCAAAAACAAACAAGAAAGAAACTTCTCTTCAGGAAAGCAGCACTTTGTCATGTTCCAAGGCCGAGTCAGCTGCACGGCCCAGACCACACTGTCCCTCCCATCCCCGTGCCCCAGGGGCCGGTGTCGCCCTGGCCAGGGCACAGCGACCCGAATCCTCAAGTCAATACTGTCGGTGCTCATTTCTTCCATACTGAAATATTTAGGTGCCCCTAGCCTCTGAGGGCAGTTCTGTTGTTTTTTTTTTAATTTATTTTTTGCTTCTTGGGTCACACCCGGACATGCTCAGGGGTTACTCCTGGCTCTGCACTCAGGAACCACTTCTGGCGGGTCTTAGGGGACCCAATGGGATGCCGGGGATCGAATCCAGGTGCGTGCTCGGCCGACACCCTCCCTGCTGCGCTAGGGCTCCGGGCCCCAGAGGGCAGTTCTTTAGAAAGCTGAGCAGAGCGAGCGGGACTGGAGGGGTCAGACCCACGTCCGTCCCTTAATTTCTTACCAGGAATCAGAGCTCACGGAAGGCTTCGGGGACTAATGAAGCTGAGGTGCAAACCAGCGTTTCTGAGCAGCCTTCAGCTCCCTCAAGGGCTCGTTAGAACCGGGCCAGCAGCGGAGCCGACATCTGTGGACACCCCCCCCCCCCCCCACCGCCCCAGACACCCACAGGGGTTCTGTGCGCCACTGACCCGGGCTGTCTCACTCCTCAGAGTGGAGTGCCTGATTCCCTTTCTCCGGAGAGACCCCCCTGCACCCCTGCCATGGCCCCCACCTGCCGCCTCTCCAACCTCTGCACTGTTCTGCTCAGCACCAAGACGCACTTTAACAGTGCACTACTGACAATCTTTATAACCTGCCCCTGAATCTGCAGCCACTCAGTACAGGTCCAAGCCTTGATAGCTATCCACCAACTCCTCCTTGGAAGGAGCTTCCGGCCATTCAGGGAGTTCCCTCGTGGGCCGGCCTCAGCCAGCCCTAGGGGGATGGGAAATTTTCGAAAGGAGGGAGGCAGAGAGAGGGGGAGGCGGGCACGGGCCACCAGCACTCCAGGTAATGCTTCCAGACTTGTGGGGGGGGACGGGGAGAGAGGACAGTCGCCCAGGTTCTGTCTGACAAAGGCAGCCTGCAGAGGCAGAGGTGGCTGGCTGGGGCCTCCACATCAGGGGAGCCTGGAACCCTGAGGAAGGGTCCAGAGGAACCCACCTTCCCCGGCCCGGCTGTGTTGGGACTGGCACCATAGACTTCCTTGCAAAGGGACCCGTGACGCATGCACGGTGGCCGGCGGGCTGGTGGCGAGACAGCGAGGCGTCGGGGCAGGGAGCAGCCCCCACCCTGGCCAGGGTAGCCCTGGGATGTGCAAGCGCCCCCACACCCTCTGGCTCGGGGTCCGACTTCCAGGGCTGGCTGGGTCCTAATTAGAATCCGCGCTCCATCTCCCTGGCACGCCAGCGTGCGCCTGCGAGGGCCGCCCGGCTCTGCACCGAGCAGGTTAATTGATATTCTGATGCTTCCGCAAAGTCCCTGGGGTTCGCGTCTGTTTTATCACACATCAAAAAGGCCGTATGCTCAGGGCTGGGGGTCTGCACAGCTGCGCCGGGCCGGTATCACAGGACGGACAAGCACTAAGCAGATGTCACGAATAAAAAAAAAAACTGAAAACAGAAAGAAAAGGGTCCTGAATGCAGCCAGCCAGCCCAGGGAAGCCGGCGTGCCCAGCAGTGCCCGCTTGCCCAGCCCGCCCAGGGAAGCCAGCGTGCCCAGTGCTGCCGCCCACCCGCCCGCCAGGGCGCCCTCCTGGCTGTTATTAAAGCGCAATTAGTCGCTTCAAAAGCAGAGCTATGTGCTCTCTGGGCCCCCCGCCTCTGATGCCCGACCCGCTCTCCTGTCCCCCACGAGGACGCCCAGCCCAGCTCAGGTGCCCAGGGGCCCTGAGGCGCGTTGCTCGCCTCTGTCTGGGGAGACGATCTGAGACTTGAGCTTGGGGTCCATAAATTGGCTCTTTCCAGCTCAGATCTGAGTCTCGGGAGAGGCCCCGGCACCCACCAGACCCCCTCTACGTTTCTGGTGAAATACGACGCAGTTTCCCAGCGCAGAAACGAGAACAGTTTCTCAGGCGGGAAAGAAATGCATCTTCAGGGATGAAGTTTGGGGAGCTGATGTGTGCTGAGGGTGACGCGGGGGGTGGGGGGAGGAGCAGGCCCCCGAGACCCCCAAACACTCTGCTTTGGTTTACACACAAATGGAGACTGTCAATCTGCTTACGCTCACATGCCTGCCGCCATCACACTCTCCTGAAAGATAATGAGCAAGAGCTTGGGGGGTAGGGGGCCCACACCCGGCAGTGCTCAGGGATGACTCCTGTTTCAGTGCTCAGGGATCACTCCTCGCGAGGCTCAGGAGACTGTATGGGATGCCAGGGATCAAATCTGGGTTGGCCATGTGCAAGACAAGTGCCCTACCTGCTGTATTATCTCGGCAACCACAAGATTTTTATTTTTTATAATTTATTTATTGGGGGCCTTTACCTTTACCTATTGGGGGCCACACTGGGTGGTGATCAGGGCTTGCTCCTGGCTCTGTACCCCCCTCCCAGTGGGGCTCTGGGCATCATGTTGGATGCTGTCTAGGTCAATGGAATGCAAGGCAAGCGCCTGCCGACTGCACCACCACTCTGGCCCCTTAGAGCTGTTTACTTTTGCTCTGTGGGGGGCCCAAGGGCACCCAGAAGCCCCTGGGGGCTACGCTCAGAAATCTGGAGAGGGTCCCAGGACGCGGTTGCTCAGAGTCTCCGGGCCTCACCTGCAGCTCCCAGCCGGGACAGCGCAAGGCCCGCTCCCTCTCTGGCCCCTTTCAGTCTAATCGCAAACCAGGACACAAACCATCGCGGCAGGGCTGCATGGGTCCTCTCCCAGCCCCGCCTCTCTGCAGCCCGCTCTGTGCAGCCCCCACCACGGCTGGACAGGCTTGCCCTGACCTGCTCCTCTGTGGACAGAGAGGAGTGCCGGGGCACCCCCACCCCGTGGCCAGCCCAGGGAGTGCCCCCATTGCCTGCTTGACCCTCCTTCAGAGAGGGGGCGTTTTCCTGCGGGGGCTAGGAGACTGAGGGGCCTGCGGGACAGGGAGGATGCCGGAGAGACACGATGCTTGGGGTGCAAGGCTGGACATGGGCTTGTCCAGCGGGCATGGTGGTTACCCACCCAACCAACAACACTGAGCTGAGAGCCGAGGTGCACGGGTGCCGAGGCGCCTGTCACAGGCTGTCGGGCTCCTGAGGGCAAACCTGGCTCCGGCCTCTGACCAGGAGTGCGGGCAGGGCTCTGCAGGGGTGACGGGGGAGGGGAGGCTGGAAGCAGGGTAGACTGCACCTTGGCTGGCAGAGGGCGGGACCCCACATCTACAAGCTGCCAACCATGGTCCCGACCACCCCTGGGTACAGGATCACCTCCAAGTGAGGGCAGGCGAGGACGTGCTCTACCTGCTCCCCCAGGCCCCCAGCCCCAGGTGTTCCCCAGAAGACCTGGGACAGCCCTGTGCCACTGCGAGCCCCACCCATCTGCAACCCCGCCCACGACGCAAGCCCCGCCCATGACACAAACCCCACCCATGCCAAGCCCTGCTTATTTGGCAAGCCCCGCCCCCACAGTGCAACCCGTTGCTTAAAGCCCCGCCCATACCCCAAATCCCACCCATAATGCAAACCCCGCCCCACTTCAAGCCCCACCCACAATGCAAACCCTGTGCCTCAAGCCCCACCCGCAACAAAAGCCCCGCCCTATCGAGCCCCGCCCACAAAGTAAGCCCCGCCCTCCACCTTGCTTCAGCCGCTGCCCATAATGCAGAGCACTCAGCTACAAATCTTCCAGGTACCAGCAACAGCAAGGAAACCAGAGTCCCTCCCGGTAGGTGCCAGCCCTGCGACCCCGGGAGGGGGTGAGCGGCAGCTGCGAGTCTCTGGACCCACGTCTGGCACTGCCACCAGAACATGACCCCACAAGAAAACCCTGCTTGACCCCTGACCCAAGCAGGGAAGGACTCGGGGCGGGAGAGACATACGAGGCCGAGGCACAGGCCTTGCGCGCAGCCAACATGGCTCAGACCCTGGCACGGCACCCGGTCCCCAGAGCCTTCCCGGGAATGAGCCCTGAACACCACCAGGTGTGGCCCAAAACCCACCACCACCAAAGAGAAAGAGAAGACAAAGGATCCTGGAATCCCAGCAGGGAGCTGCAAACTCTCTCGCCACAGTGCAGTCTGCCCCCTCCCTGCTCCTCTTTGAATGAATCCCTGAGCCTTCCTCAAACGGAGTGAGCACCGAGGGTCTGAGTGCCTCTGAAGAAACGGAAACACCCCACGCCCACCCCCAAGCAAGTCTGGGAATCCGGGGCTGGGGGCAATGCACGGAGGACTGCCCGGCTCCGAAAATCTGGGGCGTGGGTTCAGCAGACCTCATCAGGTGCCACATTTGATGACCACCAGCTGGGAGATGGCAGGGCCGGGCGGACCCTTGGCCTTGGGTGTCAGAGTCCCCTGCAGTCACACACAGCCTCCTCTGGCTCAGCCGTGGTTCCGGGGTGCAGATAGACAGCAGGACACACGGGGGCAAGTGCCGTCACCTTCCCTTGTCATATCCCTGGTATGTGCCTGGCTAGTGCCCGCGTGGAAGCCTCTGCGGGGTCAGTGTGGGGATTCAGGGCGGTTCTGCGAGCCGCAGGCTGCGGGCGAGGAAGGTCTCCCTCCGTGTTCTCCAGGACAGGACAGGCAATCTCCACGTTTGGACTCATCTGGCTCCTGCCTTCCTGTCTGCGACACCCCCCAGCTCACAGGCCAGGGGCTGTGCAGTGCTGGGGCAGCCCCGCGGAGCCAGGCACCAAGCATGGCATCAAGCATGGCCTCACACACGCCAGGCCCAGCTCCAGCTCTGATGCCACCCCCAGGGCCCCCAAGGCGATGCCTTGAATTAACTCTGGAATGGAAGATGCTTCTGTGCTGCTGAACAAAGACGGTCCCCCGGGCACAGCCAGCCTCATCCCTGGGCTTTCTGGGGGCATTTAGGCACATCTCTTAGACCAAGCATTGTAGGGAATGAGTTGTTTAGAAGTCAGCCGCCGGCTTCTGCTTCCGATGGTCTGGGGCGCTGGGGGGCGGATTGCCAAGGCAGGTCTGGTGAAAGCTTCCCCACTGTGGGGTCCTAATGCACCATCAGCGTGGGGTGGTGCCACCCGGCCGAGAGTCGGGGCAGGTACCGGCCACCAGGGACGCCCCATGAACAGTCGAGCCACTCTGCCAGCTGCTCAGCCTGCAGAGGGAGCTGCGGCTGTGAGACACACCGGGAGGTGCCCTGCTGGGGTCACTGGGGATCCCCCCAAGCTGGGAGCACAAGGCTCTGCCCACACCAAGAGTAAGAGGCTTCCCAACTGTCAGGAGGACGGCTGGGGGGACTCACCCTATCGGCTCACCTGGCTCTTCCTAGAGGGGAAGTGCTGTCACCCCCAGCCCGGAGCCTGGGATATGCGGGTGCTTCCCGCCGTGCGCCTGCACCCCAGTTGCGCAGACTTCAGGGTGCCCTGCCCTGGATTTTCTCCTAGCAACTCTCATACAGGCACTTCATCAGCACCAGCCGTGCCCTGGTCTCGCCCAGGCCCACCGTGGGCGGCCTCGGCCGGTTTCACCCGAGCCTGCTGCAGAGGGAGGGAGGGAAGGCACCCCAGACGCTGGACAACAGTGGCCCCCCAAATGGTAGGCAGGCCAGGGATCAGCGCTGGGGACCAGGCGACCGAGGCGGGGAGCGCTGGGCCAGGGCGGCGCACAGGGCGGGGCTGGCGCTTGATTGACACTCCAGCGGGGCAAGCCCGGCTCCGGCCTCGGACTGGATGCGGGACCAGCCAGCCCCGGAACCGAGGCCACCACCGTGGAGCGCTGGACCCTGGCCGCTTGCTGCCGGCAGCGTCCAGCGGAGAGGAGCTCAGGCGGCTCCTTTCACGCGACTCCGATGCCCCCGCGTGGACGCGCGCGCCTTTCCTGTGGGCCCCGCAGGATTTCGGGAGGGGGCTCCTAATTACGTGCAAAACCCACCCGGTCCCCGGGCAGCCGGGCTCCGGGCTTCAGGGAGGGGGCATCTCTCTGCATATTCATTTCTACGGTGATGATGATTATTCAGCAGCGCGGCCGGAAAGGATGCGGGAAGCCAGATCGCGGCAGAGCTGCAGTGCCAGCCTGGCGGGGTCTGGCTGCAGGCTGGGGTGTTTCTTGAGCGCCGCCGCCTAATGCAGTCTCTTTGAAGCCTCCCTTTGAAGTGACCCTGGGTGGTTAGAGGAGGAGGAATTGGCGCCGCCCGCGGAACCTGCAGTGATGCAGAGCGGAGCACTGCCTGCAGGAGCAGCGGCCACATTCCCGCTGTCCAGAGGCCCCTTCCGGCCTCCGAGCACTCACGTGCTGGTCTCCTGCTGCTGTTTGGGGGTGGGGCGCTTTCCTGACCGGTTCCCTCTCGCCCCACGGGTGGGGAAAGCTGGCAAGCAAAATTTTTTTGGCCGGGCTCCTTGGCTCACGGTGGCCCGTCTCGTTCCCCCGTCTCGTCCTGGGTTCCCCAGGCACCAGAGCGCGCCCGCCCCCCGTCTGGCATCTGTCCCGGCAGCCTCCCTGACCTACACTCCTGAACAGATGACGGGTGTTGTTTTGGGGTGACGCCTGGACTTATTCCTGGCTGTGCACCCAGGGTCACTCCTGCAGGGCCCAGGGCACCCTGTGGCGTGCCCAGGGTTGAGCCTGGCCGGCTGTGGAAAGGAAAGCGCCCTCCCCTCTGTGCTCACTCTCCAGCGCCACGTTTTTCTGTTTCGACCTCCAGGGCCTGCCCACTGGGCCTCACTGCGGCCTCCGCCTCCTCAGCTGCCCGCGGGCCCTGCACAGGTGGACATCTGGGCCGCGGCTGCCTTGCACTGGGCGGCTCAGCCCAGAGAGCCAGTTACTCAGCAGCCCGTGAACCCACGGGGCTCAGCAGTACCTCGAAAGGCTCCCCCAGGCAGCACATGCCCAGCCCGAGTCGCGAGATGGCCAACGCTGCTGACCGCTCTGGGGGGGCGGGCGGGCCCAGCGCCGCCACAGCCCTCTCAGGGGGAAGCGCAGGGCGAGGAGTGCCCGTGCGGAACTGCAAACTGATGCCCTTCAGGAGCGCAGTGAAGGCAGGTGCCGAGGAGGAGCCCGGCAGGCGGAGGGCACAGCACAGGGAGGCCTGCTGGGCCTGGGCCGCCTCGGGGGGGCCCCCAACGGCCAAGAAATGTTAGATTCGAAAAGATGCTAAAAAACGCTGCTAAGCTTTTTTTCGGGAAGTGCACAGAAGGCCACTTCCTCTGTCTTCATTGCAAAGGGGCGGGGCAGAGGGCAGAGGGCAGAGGCGGGTCAGGTGTCCTGCTGGGGCATCCCTGTGTCAGGGGCTGCCCTCCCTCAGAGGTGCTCCCTGAGCCCCGGGTGGCAGCCCTTCCCAGGGACCCCAGGGGACCCCCCAGTTCTCCCTTGTTATTTTCCCTCCATCCAAAGGCATGTCCACACCCACAGCTGATCTGCATGGAGCTGTCTTTGTGGGGAAGGGGCTTTGGGGCCACACCAGGCTCTGTGCTCAGGGCTGACTCCCGGCTGACTCCCGGCTGACTCCCTGCTGAGGGCTAACTCCTGGTTCTGTGCTCAGGGATGACTGCTGGCTCTGTGCTCAGGGATCACTCTCGGTGGGCTCACAGGGGAGCCCGGGGACTGAGCGCGGTTGGCCGCGGCCCAGGCGTGCCGCCCTGGTGTGCCCGATCTGCCTCTTTCCATCTCTGTCGGTGTCTGCGGCAGGAACACACACGCCCCGCCCAACAGCCAAGCATCCCGGGAGGCGGCACGAGTGCCCCTTACCTGCCGGACACAGTCGTCCTCGGCCAGCCGTGAGCGGAGCATCTGGATGAGCAATGGACTGCTCAGGGTCTGGGGGAGGACAGGGAGGCTGAGCCTGCGGGCAAGTGCTCATGCAGCTGCCCGGCACCGGGCAGACGGACCCTGACCCACAGCCCTGGCCCCTCCTCCAGCTGTAGACCGGCCCCAGCCCTGCCTGACCTTTAGTGGCCCCCCCACACAGACACTCAGGCATACACAGACACACACAGACACACACAGAGACACACACAGACAGACACAGAGACACACACAGACAGACACAGAGACACACGCACAGACACGCACAGACACACACAGACACACACAGACAGAGACACACGCACAGACACGCACAGACACACACAGACACACACACAGACACACACACAGACACACACAGACACAGACACAGAGACACACACAGACACAGAGACACACAGACACAGACACACACAGAGACACAGACACAGACACAGACAGAGACACACACAGACACAGACAGAGACACACACAGACACACAGACACAGACACAGACACAAAGACACACGCAGACACAGACACAGAGACACACACAGAGACACACACAGAGACACACACAGACACAGACACAGAGACACAGACACACAGAGACACAGACACACAGAGACACAGACACAGACACACACAGACACACAGATACACACACAGACACACACTGACACACTGACACAGACAGAGACACACACACAGACACACACAGACACACACAGAGACACAGACACAGAAACACACACACAGACACACAGATACACACACAGACACACACTGACACACACAGACACAGACACAGACGCAGACACACACACAGACACACAGATACACACACAGACACACACTGACACACACTGACACAGACAGAGACACACACACAGACGCACACACACAGACACACAGATACACACAGACACACACTGACACACAGACACAGAAAGAGACACACACACAGACACACACAGACACACACAGACACACACACAGACACACAGATACACACTGACATACACAGACACACAGTGAAATACACTGACATACACAGACACACACAGAAACACACAGACACGGACACACAGAGACACACAGATACACAGACACACACTGACACACAATAACATACACAGACACACAGTGACATACACTGACATACACAGATACACACTGACACACACAGACAGCCGCTACTTAGCTGTCCTGCGTTGCCCGACAGCCAGGTCCACTCCAGGCTGGCCAGCGCTACCAATGCCCTCAACCACCAGCTCTGCTCCCCCTTAGCCAGCACGCAGGCCCTGACCACTGTCCACCCCCGCCCTGGAGACGGCCACAGTTCCGGAGGGGGGAACCGGACCTCACTCTCTGTAGCCAACTGGGGTCTGGCAGGGGTGACCCCGACACCGAGTCCTGTGACCTCACGGGAAGCTCAGAACGGACCAGGGCCGGGTGGATTGGTGGGTGAGGTGTAGGCGGGTGGGTGATGGACAAATCGATGGATGGATGACGGACGGAGGGACGCTGGGCAGGGAGAGTGGGTGTGCTGGCTGCTGGCTGGCGCGAGGGAGCAGCAGAGGACACGAGGCTGGCTCTGCCCAGGGTCTGCTGCCTCCAGCGTCTCCTGAACCCCCCATGCAGTCATGGCCCCTCCCTTTCCCAGAGGGAGAGACCCACAGATCACTCGTCTGTCTGTTCCCGTATGTTTGTAACAAGTTCTCAGGTGAGGTCAGTATCGGCACCGCGGGCCATGGGCACACCCGAGAGGACACCAGATCGCTGCACTCAGCAGCCAGGGCCAGGGGCACGCGGGTATGTGCAAAGATAAACGCAGGTACACGCGGGCAGGCATGCAGATAAATGCAGGAATCCATGCAGGCACGCATGCAGGTACACACACAGGCATGCATGCAAGCATGCACATAAACACAGGTAAACACAGGTACACATGCAGGCATGTACACATGCAGACACGCAAGAAGATAAACGAAGGAAAACACACAGGTACACAGACAAGAATGTATGTACATATGAAGGCAGGCATAGGCATATACACATGCTGGTACACACGAACATACACACAGGCATGTATGAAGGTGTGCACACAGGCATGTACACAGGCACGTATGAAGGCGTACACACACAGGCGTGTACATAGGCATGTATGAAGGTGTGCACATAGGCACACGCAGATGGAGGGGAGGCTCGGCCTCTCCGCTCTCAGCATACTGCCCACCCAGGCTGGAGGGGGGGCCAGGGAGCACCATGACCCTCCCTCCCCGGGGCAGCCCCCATCCAGACCTGCTCAGGACCGGGGTTTGGGCGCCTGTCATGGGGGGGGGGGATGGACAGAGTGCCAGCCAGTCCCAGAGCCAGGAGGCGGTGGTGCGGTGGGGCAGTCTACAACCATCAGCCGGAGGCCTTCCAGCCCATCTCCTGGGAATCAGGCTCCAGTGGGCTCTGCTCCCCAACAGGGTTCGGGCAGCTGGAGCCCTGCCTGGTGTGCATCAGGGCTCCTACTGTGTCCCAGGGCTGAGCCCGGGAACCTCCGAGGGCCCCCAAATAGTGCACCAGGAGTTGGGGTTCGACCATGTCGCACAGAGCGCAGCTGGGCACCGGGCAGCCCGCACCCTCACGATGGCACTGAGTGGGCGGGGGGGGGCGCCCCAAGTTCTGGCTCTGCACGGGGCACGGGTCAGCAGCCTCCTTGCAGACCTGGGCCCGGGGCTGTGGGGGCAGCAGCGGGAACTATCCACAGCGGGTGTCCACACCTTCCAGACCAGAGGGGCCCCTGGCAGCATGGGGGCCACGGCCAGGACTTCCTCTGACACCTGGTTACAGGGCCGGAGCAGGGACATGGCGGGGAGGGTGTTTGCCTCCCACGTGATGACCGGGGTTCGATCTCCGGCATCCTAGAGGGTCCCCAGAGCACCACCAGGAGTGATCCCTGAGCACAGAGCCAGGAGTCAGTCCCGAACTCCGCTGGGTGCGGCCCCAAAAGGAAAAGAAAAAATGAAAGAAGAATCTCAGCTCCAGGGACATGGAGAAGAGGCTCCAGCGAGGAAAACAAGAGAAGTCCCGCGGCAGAGGAAGAGGAGAACGCTCCCATGCCCAGCCTGGGCGAGAAGGGGCCCTGGCTTCCTCTGGGACAAACGCTTCCTGTCACCTGTTACTCAGCTGGGCCTGGAGGCGGGGCTCAGGGCTGGCCTGGAGCTGGCTGCAGCCACCACGGGCTGGGGGTCCCGCACTCGTAAGCAGACCACCAGGAAAGGACTCAGGGCAAGAGGGGCGGGGAGGGGCACCCACATGCCTCCACGGGTCCTGCACTCGGCCGCACTCGGCTCTGCCCTGTCTGGCCGGCCATGAGGAGACGCGGGCGTGCGTCACGGTGACTCGGGAGGGAACCCCAGTCGGGGGTCTCAGCTGGTGGTCCTGAGTAACAGGGAGGCCTGGCCGCCATTGCCCAGGCTGGACACGAGACCCCCAGGGGTCCTGCAAGTCGGCACGCAGGGCGTCCTGGCACTGAGGCAGACCGAGGAGGAGGTGTCTGCAGGTCCCGGGCCCACCAGCTGAGACCCCTCCTGAGCCCCCAGCCTCCTGCCCCTTCTCCAGTGCTGGCCCTGGAAGCCGAGAACCACTGGCTGCGGGGCCCCGCCTCGTGTCTGGAACGCTCTGTAATGGCTCCGGGGTTCTGAGGCGTGTGGTGGGTCCAGCAGGAGGGAACCTGAGCTCCCCTAAAAATGCTCCAGGTGGGGCTGCTGGGATTTGGGGTGCAGAGGAGGCTGCCATCCCGGGACTGGGCCCTGGGGGTGCCCGCACCTCTCCACTGGGGCTCAGAGCAGCAGGGGCCCTCACTGCCCCCCCCAGCCTACCTGGGGCCTCTGGGGGTGCCGGGAGGACGAGGCCATGGAGGAGAAGCGGCGGCTCAGGCTGTCCCTGGTGATGAGGGTGCTCTGGAGGTGCTTGCAAAGCCACATGGCCTGGAGGGAACCGGGGACAGCCGTGATCCAGGGCTCCCCCAAGCACGCCCTCCTCACTGCCGGCGGGGTGGGGGGCGCGCCCTGGGGTGGGGCCCACACGGCCAAGGCCCTGGAAACACAGAAACTGACCCAGAACTCAAGACTAACACCCAGGAATGGCTGAGATTAGTACCAGGAATTTTGCTCCATGACTTGGAGGCCAGCCACACGTGCTAGGGGAAAAGGAAGCTCAGATAGAGAAGAGAGCACCAAATAAAGGGTGTTGTGAGGACCCTCCCAGGGTGGGAGAAGCATGCTAAAAGTAGTCTATAGACCAAACATGATTGCCACTCAAGGCCTCTCTTGCGAAACACAGTACCCAAAAGAAGAGAGAGAGAACAAGGGGGAATACCCTGCCACAGAGGCAGGATGGGACGGGAGGGATGGGGGGTGAGGGGGATGCTGGGACCCGTGGTGATGGATGACGGGCACTGGTGGAGGGGTGGGCACTTGATCATTGTATAACTGAAACCCAAGCACAAAATTTGTAAGCCTATAATTGTACCTCATGGTGTTTCACTAATAAAAAAAGAAAAAAATATATGTTAAACAAACAAACAAACAAAAACAGCAGGCATACGGGTCTGCTCTCAGCAGCGCCATCCCGGGCTCGTTTCTGGGGTGCAAAGGGCTGAGTGAGGCCTGAAGCAGCCCTGGGCTAGCACTGCCTGCAGGACAGTGGCCGCCACAGGCTCCACCCCCCCCCCACTAGAATCTGAACAGTCACCCCACTGTGTGCAGACAGGAGGCGTGGCCCGGCCACTGGCGGGAGCAAAGTGTGCAGGGCCAGGGGTCTGGGGGATGCAGCTCCAACCTCAAGCCCCAGGGGACCCCAGTTCACACTCTGCACTGAAGCAGCAGACTTGGGGGTCCCCACACAGCTGACAGAGTAGCGACAGCAAAGGCTCCCAGTCAGCACCGTGGGAGGGATGCAGGTGTCAGAGGCTGGACACTGGCTCCTGTGTCTTACTGGCCAATGCTACAGTGGCCAAAGCAGCTTCAAAGGAAATAAAACAGGGACTGGAGAGTGGTGGCAGGGAGGGGCCTGCTGTGTACACGGCCGTAGGATCCCCCAAGCCTGCCAGGGGAAGAAGGAAGGGAGGAAGGAAGGAGGGATGGAGGGAAGAAAGAAGGAAGGGAGAAAAGAAGGAAGGAAGGAGGGAGGGAGGAAGGGAGGAAGGAAGGAAGGAGGGAGGGAGGGAGGGAGAGAAGGAAGGAGGGAAGGAAAAAGGAAGGAGGGATGAAGGAAGGAGGGAGGGAGGGAGGGAGAGAAGGAAGGAGGGAAGGAGAAATGAAGGAAGGAAAACAGGAGGGAAGGAAGGAAGGGAGAAAGGAAGGAAGGAGGAAGGAAGGAAGGAAGGAAGGAGGAAAGGAGGAAGGAAGGAGGGAGGGAGAGAAGGAAGGAGGGAAGGAGAAATGAAGGAAGGAAAACAGGAGGGAAGGAAGGAAGGGAGAAAGGAAGGAAGGAAGGAAGGAAGGAAGGAAGGAAGGAAGGAGGAAAGGAGGAAGGAAGGAGGGAGGGTAGGAAGGAGGGAGGAAAGGAGGGAAGAAGGGAGGGAAGGAGGGAGGGAAGGAGGGAGGGAAGGAGGAGGGAGGGATTTCCTTCGCCTTCCTGCACCTTTCCCAATTGTCTGAAGTCAGTGACTGACTTTGGACAGTTCCCAGTTGTCTGAAGTGATGAGCCCCACTTCCTCCTCCTGGAAATGGGTCCCAATTCTGTCACTGGGGTGACTGGGGTGAGCAGAGAGAGTGAGGGGCAGGGGCGCAGAACCAAGCCAGGGGACCAACCCCAGGACTCGGGGACACGGGTGGGACTGTGTCCCGACCACAGACTGCCCCTCGGAACAGAATAAGGCAGGATGGGGGGGCGGGGAGTGCGCCTGTGGAGGTGATGAAGAATTACGGCATTACCATATATAATGTGGCACACTTACAATGGTTGTTTTCCCCGAGGCCGGTGGACCTAATATTACAATCTTCGGTACTGTGGAAGAAAAAGATGAGCCTGTCACCTTTCGCGGTGACAGAGCGACCCTCACGTCCCGGCACCCACTCCTATCGATTCCTGCTCGCCCCAGACTTCATTTTCTACCAGTGACGCGGCCGTTTGTAAAGGCCACGGAGACGCACTCCCCGGAAGGCGCCGGTGTTTAGAGTAAGTGATGGCCGAGACGGTTTATTCTTCTGTCTCTGCGGGGACACGCGCACGGCGACTTGTTTGCCGAAGTCATAAATACCAGAAACGATTGGGCTTCAAACGCCATAAAGCATTTTAAAGGGGCCTTTGTCTCTGGACGCTCTCAAAGAAAGCTGTATCTTATGTAAATCCACCCTCGAAGCTTTTGTTTTCCCTTCATATTTATGCTTTTTTATTTAGTAAATTGTATTCCCCATCACGTTACAGAGGGAAATCATGAGGAAAGTCTGGGCGCGTGGCCCAGATTTACAAACCCAGGCCAGAAAGGTCTCGGTGTTCACCTCGGGGGAATTCTCTGCAAATGGGGGACTCCGCCTTCAGCCTCGCTCCCCAGCCCGGGAACGTTCTCGGTTGCCGCTGCCCACTGACCCCAGCCCTTGCCAGGGACACAGAGCAAGGTCCAGGGAGCGGCCGCTGGCCCGGCAGTCGGGGACAGAGACACCCCCAGGCTGAGGTCCCTGAGTCAGGGCCCCGGCAGGAGCCCAGCCTGGACATCAGGGACGCCCCCCAGCCAGGCCCACCAAGGCTGGGCTCGCAGGATCCAGTGGGGGCTGTGGAAAAGAGGCGACTCTCCCCTTCACCCCCACGCACCGGGAGGCGCAGGAGTCTGGCCACCCCCAGGAACCTTGGACCCCACCTGCCCTGGCCTGGACCATGGCTGCCAAGGCCACCCCAAAGCTAGGCACCGTGGGGCGAGGCAGAGCGCACCCCAGATGCTGCTCCACAGACACACCTGCCCGAGAGCTGGACACCCAGGTGTGGGGGGGGGCGTGTCGGGGGGGCACAGCCCCCTGGGAGCAGGAGGCCAGGCCAGGCCGAGCGTGTGGGAACATGGCTGCAGTGGGATGCCGTGGGAGTCTGCGGGAGGGTCTGACACAGCTCACGCGCCCATACCTGCGTCACCCCCAGCTCGGCCTGGGAGCCTAAGGAGCACTCATCCAGGAGCACTCGGGGGCCGAGTCACAGTCCCGGGTTCGCAGGGTGCTGGGGGAATTCCCTGGGACTGGACATGAGGGGAGCAGCCAGTTCTGACGTCCACTCATGCCCCACACACGGATGGACGGACGGACGGACAGATGGACGGACAAATGGGCCGGTGCTCTCAGCCTCACCCTGACCCACGGGAGGAGCTGTCTGTGGTGCAGTCCTGAGGGCTGGGGGTCGAACAGCTTCTCTGCACCCAAAGGCGGGCGCAGTGGCTGGGGGCACAGGGAAGGGGCAGACCCCAACAGCGTGGCCCGTCAGTGCTCAATTCCTGCCAGGCGGGGCACGGGGGCTCCCACACGGTGCTCGCGGCTGCCCCCACTCCCCAGCGCCCTCCACCTCAGGGTGGACACAGGCCGCTGTGGTGTGGGGAGGCCAGAGGTCCGGCCTCACACGGGTGCGCCCACGGAGGCTGGGGAAGGGTTTCTGGCTGTGGCCGCTCCCAGGGGCACCAAGCGGGCTTCTCTCCTTGGGAGCCCACCCAGAGACCCACCCAGCCCGAGGAGGGGAGACCCCAGATGCAGCGGGAGGGATCCAGGTGCGCAGGGCAAACAGTGGGGCCCGAAGCTCACTCCACGGCGCACACAGAGGCGTGGGCCCTGGAACTGGGCGCAGGCACGGAGCACCCCAGGCAGCGAGGCCCTGGGGGCGGTGGCAGTGTGGAGGTGACACAGGACAGTGGGGGTGGAACACAGAACAGTCTGCTGGGGGTGAAACAAGTCATACAACCACATACGGTGTGTGGGAGTGGGTGTGTGTAACATAGGCTCCATGTGTGGTGTTGCGTGAAACTCAGACCCTGGAGAACTGACCCCTTCCTGGGTCTTGGGACCCACAGGCAGGGAGAGGCGGGGGGGGGGGCAGGGGCGCCCAGAGCTCACCGTCATCGTTGTCCAGCTCCAAGTGATGGATCATGAACTGAATGGGCTCTGAGGGCTGGTGGATCAGCAACTGCTCCAGCAAGGACTGCAGAGAGAGATGGGCCGGGTACCGGCTGCAGAGAGAGGGAGAGGGAGGGAGGGAGGGAGGGAGAGAGAAAGAGAGAGAGAGAGAGACAGACTGACAGACAGACAGACAGACAGAGACGGGAGACAGGCGGGGGTACCGGCTGCGGACTCCATGCCCAGGGCCCAGCACTCTCCTCTTCAGGACTGGGGGTACAGAGCCTCGGGCGGGACAGGGGCTTGGCTTGTCCGTAGCTGGCTTCTTCAGCAGAGGCGTGAGGGTGGGCCCCCTTGCTGCAGAGCAGGTGGGGCCATTCCCCGACTTTCTCCAGGCCTCCCAGACATGCTCCCCTGTGCTACCTGTGCTGTGCTCAGGCTCACCCAGCCCTGGCAGCCTGTTCGCTCGCACGGATCACTGTCCTGCACCTTGGGTCGCCACAGCAATGGGCCTCCCTGACAACACCCCCAACTGGCCGCTGGTCCAGGAGCCCCAGATGGAGGTGTCTGCTGGGGACAAGCACTCCACAGCAGTGTCCCCCTAGAGAGGCCGAGGAGCAGACAGGCCAGGGCACCTCAGGGTGTGCCGGACAAGAGCACCCGACTGCGAGAAGTCTCAGCTCAGCTTCCTGCCCTGGCCCCTGCCCTGGTCCCTGCTGCCCCACCTCTACACAGCTCCCGGTTCCAGGCAGCCACCTGGGGCTTAGTCACGTGACTATTTGGAGTCTTCGAAACAGTTGCCAGAAAGGCAGGAGTGCAGGGCAGGATGAGGTGGAGGAAGGACCGGCCCCTTTGGTTTTTGTTTTGGGCCACACCCGGATGAGCTCAGGGTTTACTCATGGATCACCCCTGGCGGGGCTCAGGGAACCCACGGGGTCCCGGGGATCATACCCAGGTGGGCTGCGGCATGAAAGGCCAGCTCCCCTGCATCACGCTGGCCCCGAGAGCCGATGTGAACATGGATGGGGACAGGGCAGGACGCTGCCACGGGTGGAAAGCAGAGGAGGGCTGCGCCTGCCACCCCAGGTTCTCCCGGGCGGGCGCAGGGCGCCCAGGGTGGCACCTAGCCCCTGCCCCGCTGCCCCCGCAACAGGAGACGTTTCCTTCCCTTGAGTCCTCGACCCTGGAACCGGCCAACCTCAGTGAGCACTTGGCAAAGGCCCCCGGGGCTGCAGGAGAAACGAGGCTTCTGGGCGGCCCTGTTGGCAGGGTTCGACCAGGAGACGGGGTGGGAAGAGCTCTGGAGACTGGGCACCTGCTTCCCGGAGAACCGCCTGGGACCCCCAGGAGGGTCAGGGGCAGCCCCCGGAGCTGGGGCCCGGGCCGACGGGGCGTCGCCCTGAGGAGCCGAGTGACAGCCGGGGGCCGGCAGAGCGGGACGCGGAGACCCCCTGGAACCGCCCCTGAACCGGGCATTCGCAGGGAGGGCGGCGGGAGCAGAGAGGGGGGACCCGCTTGGGCGCCCCCTGGCCGTCTCCTCGCTGCGGGGGTCCCGGCCCGCGGGGGCGCCAGGCGGGGCTCCGGCACCTGCATCATCTCGAAGACGTGGTTCTCCTCCCCGTACTGGGGCATGTCGGCGGAGAAGCGATGCGGGGACAGGCTCGCGTCCAGGGCCCCCGAAACCTTGAAGATCGAGCGGCCCGGCGGAACCTCCATCGCGCCGGCCCGCGCCGAGCTGTGTCGCCATGGAGACGCGTCCTACGTCATCAGAGCGCGCCGCCGCCGCCGCCGCCGCCGAGCCGGCCTGCAGCCCGCCGCGCCCATGCGCGCCCGGCCGCGGCCCCCCGGGACCAGAGGCGACCCCCGGAGGGGACCCGAGCGCCCGGCCCGGCAGCACCCGCAAGGCACGTCGGCCCCCGCGCCGGGGGAATCCCCGGCCTCGGTTTCCCCGTCTGGAAGATGCAGGCGCCGGGGTGGGCGCGGCCGGGAGGGTCCGGGCGGGTGGGCGGGCGGGCGACCCTCGAGCCGGCTCCAGCCCCCGCCGCCCGGGCGAGGCGCGGGTTGCCACGCGGCGTGTCGCGACGGCGTCGGCGCTAACAATCGCCGCCCCGCCCCCGGGCGCCAGACCCGACCCCGCCGGGCACCGAGGCCTCGGGCCGCCGCCGCCGCCTAGGACAGGCCAGGTCTCCGCGGGCCCGGGGCGGGCTCGGAGACGGGCGGGGGCCAGGGGGTCCGCCTCTGCCTCCTGCCCCTCGCGCGGGGAACGGGGGCTGAGGCTCGGGAGGGGCAGCGCGCGGCCGCCACGGCCCGTTCCCGGACCGCGCGGGCCCAGGAGAGGCGCCGCCTCCCGCCACCCGGGGGAGGGGCTGCAGGGGCGCGGGGCGGGGCGGGGCGGGCGGGCCGGCGGCGAGGCGTTCCCCCTTCTGGCTTCTCATCAGCTCTGGGTCTGGAGGCGTTTGGGATCCAAGGCTCTTCAAGAGTAAAGCAAATTGCCTCGTTTTACAGGTGGGTAAACTGAGGCCCAGGGAGGCCGGTTTTGGCCAGGGTCACTCGTTGAGTCAGAAAGGTGGAGCCCGGCCGGGCTCCCGGGCCCCGGGGAGAAGCAGCTCAGCCCCCTTCCCGGGACCACACGCCCAGGTGGGCTCGACAGACCTGCCCGCAGAGGCAGCTGGGAAAAGAGGGGCGCCCCACCCCACCCTCAAAGATCACAGCGGCCTGCGCTGTCGGCTGCCTGGGCATTTCCGAAGCGCTTGCCTCTCTCATTTATTTCCTGCTCTGGGCGCTTTTCTAACCATGATTTAAGCTTCTTTGGCAGCCTGGACGGTATAAGTCCGTGAAAGCCTCACCCTGTGGGTTGGTGGTGTGTAGGGGCGGACACTCCAGTGGCTGAGCCGCCTTTGCCCTTCCTCCCGCCTCACGGGCAAGTCCCTGCACCCCGGACCCTTTTCTTCCCGCGCAGTTGGCTGCAGAGTTCCCCCTCGGCACCATCACCCCGGGTAGCTCTTTGCAGCTCCTCTGCCTGGCAAGCTTGTCACAAGCTGTCGGAGCACGGTCTGGGTTGGTTTTGCTCTCGGGAACTCTCTGCCCAGGTGTGTACCGTGGGGAACCTGGCAGGAAGTCACACAGGGCTGCCCCCCTCCCCCGTGCCTGTCATCACTCTCACTGCTGGATATCAAGGCTGGTGGCAATAGGATCGTGACTGTGCTTGGCCCGTAGGACGGCCAGGCCGCTTTCCTGGTGCTGGTCCTCCACCCACCGCCCTTGTCAAGCCGGTTAGCTTGAGTCGGGCAAGGTTGCACCGCATCCTGGAAACTCGCTTCCTCCTCAGTTTGCTCATCTGTCACAGAACCTTCGGGACAGCCCTTCCCAAGGTGGTGGCGAAGACCCAAGAAAAGGAGGAGCGGGCTTTTTTATTTTTGGCTTTTTTGGAGGTGGTCACACCTGGTGATGCTTAGGGTTCCTCCTGGTTCTGCGCTCAGGAATCACTCCTGGCGTTGCTCAGGGGACCCTATGGAATGCCAGGGATCAAACCCCGGTTGGCCACGTGCAAGGCAAACGCCCTCCCCGCTGTGCTATGGCTCCGGCCCCCGAGGACGAGTGCTTTCCTGGTCCTGCTCTTCCTCTCCCCCACCCCGTGCCCTCAGCGAGGATTTCCCCCAGGTTCTTGGCCGGTGCCGGCCCCAGCGTGTGACGCACACCAGCCTGTGTGAACACGGCGTGTATGGGTGCAAGGGTGCTGCCGCAGCTTTCCCACCATGCAGGGTCCCTCGGCCCCATGCGCTCCTGCACCCTGCCCCCCGCAGCACCTCCACAGCCCCTCTGCCAGGGGTCCCGCCCCTGCTTTGGGGAGCACAGTGCCCACACAACACGACCCCCTCGCTCGCCTGTCCGGCTCCACCGCCCAGCAGGGAAGACTTGAACTGGAGACTCGTGACCCCAGAGCCTTGTGTTTTCCCGAAGGGGGGGACTCAAACTGCGCACACGCCACCCCCAAGTGCACGCTTTGGCCTTCCTTGTCCTCCGAGCACTGTGTAAGTGGGGAGTGAACCAGGCACAGCAGATCTCTGTGCTGGGCCAAGATGCAGCTCTTCCAGGGCCTACAGTGTGGTGTGCAGTGGGAGCCCTGGATGTGACTCCAGCACCACACGACCCCCCACCAGGCGTGACCCCCAAATCCAAGTAAGCACTGCAGCACTGTCCTCCCGTTGTTCATCGATTAGCTCTAGCGGGCCCAGTAACGTCTCCCTTGTGAGACTTGTTTCTGTGTTTGACATATTAAATATGTCATGGGGAGCTTGCCAGGCTTTGCCGTGTGGGTGAGATACTCTTGGTAGCTTGCTGGGCTCTCCAAGAGGGGCGGAGGAATCAAACCCTGGTCAGCCCGGTGAGCAGCGTGTAAGGCAAATGCCCTACCCGCCGTGCTATCACTCCAGCCAACTCTCGCATGACCACCCGCGCAGTAAAGCGAATGATTAGAGGTCTTGGGGCCGAAATGATCTCAACCTATTCACCCAAGTAAGAATAAAACTTACTGCAAAACCCCACTTAGGATATAAAACCGTAAGGCGGGGTCAGCACGGCTGCTGCTGCCTCCTCTGGCCCTTCCAGTATTTATTTACTGACCGGGGGCCACGCGTGGCAGTGCCCAGGGCTCACTCCGGCCCTGTGCTAAGGCCACCCGGGGGGCTCGGGGCAGTATCTGCCGTGTGCGAGGCAGGCGCTCCCCCCCGCCCCCCCCAGTCTGATCTCTGGCCCCTGGACTCCCGAGTTCTGACGTCGTGTTCTTTGGCGATGACGGGGGCGGGCTCCACATGCTGGGTGCTGCCATCAGCTGTGAGGCCCCGCGGGTGGGTCCCCCTTGTGCCCACCTTGGCTTGGGGGTGCTCACTCAGGCCTCGCAGGCACACCAGGGATGAAACTCCGGCCTGGCGCTGGCCGCCTACTCCCCTGGCCTCTGTGGTCGGTAGCAGTCGCTTTGGCTTTCCAAGGACAGGACGTTCAACACGAGTCCCGGGGCCTGGCCCTCACCCGGTCCTGGCAAGCCAAACGTGCGAAAGGGCACCCCCCACCGCTCCCGCTGACCGGCCACTGCCCTGCTGTTGGCCAGCACTGTCGCCATGGCTGCGGGTCCTGCCCGTGCATGCCAACACCACTGGGCGTGAGGCCCCAGGGCCAGGACCCGCCTGCCACCCCTGCTTCCGTCCCCGGGCCTTGGCCGGTGTTTGCGTCTCCCAACCCGGCGGTGGTTCCAGCCCTTCTCGGCCCAGAGGTACTGGCGACCCCCCCAGCCCCGCCGTGTCCTTCCCACCCTGCCTGGACCAACAGCCTAGCCTGGGACCCCCAGCACTGCTGGGCTCCCCGCAGTCCTGTAGGCCCCTGGACCTGGGGGGCCCTGCTCCTCCCAGTGGGACGAGGCACCGGCCTTGAATGACAGACCCACCATGGGGAGGAGGGAGAGGCTGGGGCGGGATGGTGGTGTGGACCCCTCTGCGCGAGGCCCAGACGCGCCCCCTTTCCCCAGGGGCACCCTCTCTCCCCGCGGCGGGCGTCCCCCTCTCTCCCCGTGGGCGCCCCCTCTTTCCCCCTCTCCTCCGCGGGCGCCCCTCACTCCCACGGGCGCTCCCCTCTCCCCCCCGCGGCCGCTCCCCTCTCCCCCGACGGGCCCCCTCTCTCCCCCTCTCCCCCCACCCCCGCAGGCGTCCCTCTCTCTCCCCCCCCCTTGGGCGCTCCCCTCTCCCGCGGGCTCCGTGCTCACGCACACTCCCCGCAGGTTCCAGTGCTCCCGCCAAGGATGAATGAGGTGAAGGAGACCCTGCGCACCGTGGAGCAGCGGTACCGGCTCTTCCAGCAGCAGCAGTTCACCTTCATCGCGGCCCTGGAGCACTGTCGCGACAACGCCCACGACAAGATCCGGCCCATCTCCACCATCGCGCAGGTGCGGCCCGCCAAGGGGGCCAAGGGGACGCAGGCCGCGAACTCCGCCCCGGCACCACAGCGCCTCCCGCACCCAGAGGGCCCCCGGCACCCCCAGGAGTGATCCCTGAGCGCAGAGCCAGGTGTGGGCCCCCAACTGAAAATAAACACCCACACCGCTGGCCAACCCCGGTGCCTTCTCAGCTTCGGCCAGGCTGAAGGCGGGCACGTGAGCACGCACACGCCACCGGAGCCCTCTCCCTGCTTGCACCACGAGGCGCCTGGCTGGGCCTTATCGAGGGGCACACCCAGTGGTGCGCGGGGTACTCCTGGCTCAGTGCTCAGTGCTGCTCTGAGTGCTGGGATTGAACCCAGCTCTGCCGGGCACTCTTGTTCAGGGGTGTTTAGCGGTGCCCTCTGTGGCCATGGGAGTGGGCCCCCGGCTGGAACTGCTCAGAAGTGCAGGCAGGAATCTGAGAGGAATCTGAGGGGCACCCAGCCTGGTGGCTCCCTGGGGGGGGAAATCTGGTTTTCTAACTTTGCAAACTTTCTGCCTTGCACTCGGCTGACCCATGTTCAATCCCGGGCATCCCATATGCCACCTATGCATTGCCAGGAGTAATTCCCGAGTGCAGAGCCAGGAGTAACCCCTGAGCACCACCCGGTGTGACTCCCCAAAAAAGTTTTTAATAAAAATAAATAATAAAATCTCTCCCTTCCCCCCCGTTTCTGGGCTCTACCCAGCACTGCTCAGAGATCTAGGCTGGCTCAGGGCACCATCGGGGTGCCAGGATCGAGTCCGGGGCAGCGGCTTGCAAGGCCAACGCCTTCCATGGTACCAGCTTCTGCCAGAAGCCTGAACTCTGAACCCCGTTCAGTGCCCCAAGCAACCCCCAGACTGTCACGGTGCCCGCTGCCGGACAGGACCCCACCAGGCAGACCCTCCTCCTGGGGCCGCCCACGGTCCCGGAGCCTCTGGAAGAAGTTCGGGACCAGCCCTCTTGCTTCTGGGGCTCCCACTCGAAGTCCCCAGGGCCAGTCACACGGCGGGTCAAGTCCTTGCCTTGCTCACGGTCGACCTGGGTTCAATCCCTGGCACCCAGGAGTTCCACCAGCGAGATTCCTGAATGCAGGGCCAGAAGTCAGCCCTGGGCACAGCCAGGCGTGCCCCAAACCAAAAACTAAACAGAAATGTGAGAAGTCCAGGCTGTCGGGGCTGGTGAGCGGGCCGGGCATGCACACATGCGCTTGTGGCTCACGGGCTGGCCCGCAGGTGCAGACCTACATGGAGCACCACTGCGGAAGCTCCACCTACCGCCGCATCCTCTGCATGTTCCTGGACATCTGCACAGAGCTGGCCAGACTCTGCCAGCACCTGGAGGGCCTGCACGCGGGCACGCCGGTCACCAGCAACATCCTGGACAAGTGCAAGACGCTCATCAGCCCGAGCCACGACCTGAGCAGCCTCCGAGCCAAGTGAGGCCTGGCCGGTGGCGAGGGGGACGCTCCAGGGAGGGGCTCAGGCCTCCTGGGGCGGGGGACGGCCCAGGCCACGGAGAGGGCATTGAGCCAGACCCCATCCCTGCAGCCCGTCCCCGGGGGTCCCCTCACCTGGCTCCCCATCAGCCCCAGAAGCCGCGGCTGGGGAGGGGACAGCCGGGCGCATCAGTGAACCTGTGGCCGGGGGCCCGCAGGTACCCTCACGACGTGGTGAACCACCTGAGCTGCAACGAGGCCAGGAACCACTACGGCGGCGTGGTGAGCCTCATCCCGCTGGTGCTGGACCTGATGAAGGAGTGGGTGGCGCACTCGGAGAAGCTGCCGCGCAAGGCCCTGACGCACGTGAGTGAGTCCCGGCTGTACCAGGAGGCCGGCTACCCGGGCCCGCCCGCCCGCCGCCAGCCCTGGGCCCGGCTCCCGTGCAGGCTGCGCATCCGAGAAAAGCTTAGGGGGAAGAAGCAGAGCATGCGGCCGCCCTGGAGACCGCCCGGCAGGGGCCTGTAGCCCCCTCTGGCCGGCCCCAGTCTGGGGAACGAGACAGGCCCCCACCTTCCAGGACGGCACCTTGGACGGCACCGCGAGCCCCCGGGCGCCCGGCTGACTGTTGCTTTTCCTTCGCAGGGGGCGCCTTAGCTTCTGTACCCTCTGGCTCCCGGGGGCGGCAGGCAAGAATAAAGTGTTCCACCCGCTCCGCCTGGCCTGCTTCCTGGGACTTGGCCCTTCAGGGACCGGCCTCTCCAGGCCCCGGGGAACCCAGACGAGGGACCCCTGCACCCGTGTCCACTTTCGATTCCGGCCAGGGCCCGCTGAGACGGGCACAGGAGCCGCAGTGGGGGTCGGTGCGCTCCAGGTCTGCCGAAGGCCGCGGCCCCTTTCCCGGCACAGCGTGGGGCCCGCAGGCGGCTCTGTGGCACACGACGGGGCGGAGGCCACCGCGAGCACCCGGCAGGAGGAAGCCGGTCAGGCCACACGGCGTGGTAGTGCAAAACGATAAATGTTTATTTGTTCACAGTTAAACACAAGCGACTGCCTTGACATTCGAGAATGTTCTGAGAAGGACGGCGCCCTCCCCCGTACCATGACTCCTGCCGTTTGTGTTCAAAGCCGGGCGGGAGCCGTCAGCCTCCGGGCGAGAGGACGTTCCAGAGGGAACCCGCGTCCCTCCCGAGACCCCTCTCCACGCTGGGCGGCCCGCCTGGTGCTGCATGATCGAGTGACGAGACTAGACGAGTCTCCGAGCGTGAGCCTCCGTGATGGCGGGACTCCAGGGACACCGCGCCCGGGGCCTCCTCTCCGGGTGCCCCCACCCTAGAGCAGAGTCCTCGGTGCCATCTGCTGGGGAGGGACGGGGCCCAGAAGCTGATGCAGACAGACCACAAGCGTCCCCGTGGACACCCCCGGCCTGCCCCCGCCGAGCACGTCCCTGGGGCAGCCGTCACGCCCTCATGCCCACTCGCCCTCACGCTGAGGTGCCCTCACTCGCTCTCTCAAGGCCCAGGGCTTCCCTGGGCTGGCAGCCTGCCCCTCAGCCCCGCCAGTGTCCCGTCCTCACCGACGAACAGCACCTGCTCTCAGCGCCCAGGGCCCCTCCCTGGAGTGTAACCGTCTCGGGGCACTGCCCCCGGGACGCAGCCACAGCCCAGTCACACCAGCCACGCCACCCTGTCCCGCCACGCCGCGAGCAGCTCACGGCAGAGATGAGTGCTCACTCTCCTGGGGAACAGATGGAGCAGCGGGCGCATCACCCCCCCCCCCAGGGAACCGTCTGCAGTCCCGACCCCACACCACCCGCCACCGCCTCCCTCCCCTTGAGAAGCCGGCCGGCCGCTGTCTCCTCCACCCCCACAGCGAGAATTTCCCAGGCGCCATGGCAGACCCGTGAGAAGCTTTTAAATACCCATGGGAGTTCTGCTGGTAGGACACGGTGCCAAGGCCAATTCGAAAGCCCTTCCTCGAGGGCCCCCGGAACAGACACTCGCCACCTTCCCACGGCTCCGGCGGCGGGTGGCAGCCTCCCTGTCCTGGGCCAACACAGCCATGCCAGCCTGAGGCAGCTCTCGGTGGACAGGTGCCCCTCCGAATGGCCCCAGCGGACCCCAAGCTGCACTTCACAGGAGGCACCACCCACAGCAGGGGCCCCAACCTCAAGCTTCCCTCCCTGGTCACCCCCACGTGCCCAACAGGCCCAGGCATCCCGACTCCAGCCACGCCATCACCTCCCAAACCAAAGCAACGGGTGCAGGCCTGGGAGTGCCCAGATGCAGCTCCTGGGGCCCACAGGGAACCATCACCGGCTAGCGCTGCTGACCGGGAGCCCTCCTGCCCGCGGCCCGGGGTCCAAGGTGTGTGTGTCCCTGCAGCCATGGAGGCCACGGGCTCATTCCTCTGTCCCGGGACGCACATCTCTGTGGTGTGGGGAGGGGACTTGGGGACTAGGGCTCGGCCATGACCTGTGACCTCTGTCCCCCCCGGGAATCTGTTGGTGCTTGACTGAGACTCGAGTCGGACCCGAGCAGATTGGCTTTCACGCTTTCCTTTGGACAACGCTGAACGAGCATGTGGCGGAAGCCCGCCCAGCACGTGGGCCCCTCGGGTGCCATGTTGCGTGCGGGCCAGAGCACTGCTTGCCACGTTCTACCCAGCGGCCTGAACCCGCGCACGCGCCTTCGTACCATCCATCTCCCCTCCTCGGGCCGACCCTTGGCCGCCAGACTCCCCGGAACATGGTGCCAAGAGCCAGCCCCGCCCGGCCCTCCCCGGCTGAGCACAGGGTCTGGCCGCCGCCCGCACCACCCCCCCGGCTCCTGGGCACGTGCGAGAAAGCAGAGGTAGTGGGGCGACGGGACACGGAGCTCCCGGACGCTTCGGGCGCCCCGAGCCGGCCCAGGCTTTCCCAGACACACAAGTTGTTCACACAGAACTTTGCAGGAGCTCATCGGAACCCAAGCAGGCCGCGAGGGCACACAGACCTGCAGCGGGGAGTTCACACGGAGTGGGAGGAGGCCACACTCCCCGCCCGCCCGCGCCTGCGGCTGGCTGGCAGGGCTTCAGGCGAGAGGCGCGTGCGGCTCCCAGATCCCGTCTGGCCTCGCACCAGGCAGTCCGGGGCCCAGGGAGAAAATAAAGCTACAGAGGAAGGCAAACCGGCCCAGACAGGCAGGGCCGGGGGCGCGGGCCCAGGGGAGGGGGCGGCGGGGAGGCGTTCCGGCCCCGGCCCCCGGCGCCCCGTGCCCGGCCAGCTGCCACTTCCCCTCCGTCTCCCTGGGGCTGGGCACACGCACACACCGCCCGCTCCGGCACCGACTGGGTCAGCGCTGACCGACCCCGTCCTTAACTGTGTTCGTGGTGAGTCTCGTTGTAGTCCATGATGCGGAGCTGTCCTACACTGTCCGCATTCGGGGGTGACGGGCGCGGGCTCTCTGGGTCCCCCCCAATGTCTCTGCCCAGGTCCAAGCCTGGGGCCTCCGAGGGGCCCACGCCGGCCACGCCGTCCTCGTCGCACTGGCTCTCGCTCTTGTTGCGGAACAGCTCCCGCGCCTTCATGCCCAGGAAGCTCCGGGAGCTGGGCAGCGAGCCTACAGCCGGCTCCCCCACGGCCGGCTCCCAGCGGCCGCCCAGCGGGGCCCTCAGCCCGGGGCCCTTCTCTGGGGTCGGGAGCTCACCGCCAGGCCGGGGGGGCCGGGGCTCCCCGTTGCGGTCAGACGCCTCCTCCCTGCGGCCCGCTGCGAGGCCCGAGCATCCGTCGCTGCCACAGTCAAGCCTGGAAGAGACCAGCGGGAGGGAGATGGGACAGGCGGGACGGCGGCTGGCACGACCACCATGCCCAGCCGCACCGCGCGGCCCTGCTGGGGACACTCGCACCTTTCCTCCGCCATCTCCGCCGCGTCCGCGGGGGCCTCACCGCGCTTCCTCAGGAGCCCGCCCTTCTCCAGCCGGCCGTACAGATCCAAGATCTCCAGCTCGAAGGCCTGCGTGATCCGCTTCTGAGCCACGTACCTGCCCTCCGAGGCCTGCAGCTGCTGCCTGGGGACATGGACACGGCGGGTGGAGGCAGCCCCGCCCCTGGCCCGGGTGGACGCAGAGCCCACGCCCAGCACACGCCTGGACCCAGCACGTGCCTCGACCAGCACACACCGTACCTAGCACACGCCCAGGCCCAGCACATGCCCATACCGAGCACACACCTGGACACAGCACACGCCCGTGCCCAGCACATGCCTGTACCTAGCACACGCCCCAGGCCCAGCGACGCTACCTGGCCTGGGCTTTGACGTCCTCCAAGTACTTCTTCTGCTCCATGAGCAGGTGGTCCTTCTTGGCCAGGTGGGCTTCCAGCTCCTGAACCCGCTTCTGGGAGGTGTCCAGACTCTGGCTCTGCTGCAGAAGGTGGCTCCGGTGCTTCTCCAGCTCCTTCCGGTAGGCGGCCTTCATCATCTCTACCTCCTGACAAGCAGGGCGAGCCCTGGGGTCACGAGCCCGCCCCCAAGGCCGCTGGGCACAGACAGGAAGGGGGTGGGTGGACCCAGGAGCCTGCCCTGAAGCGGAGCCCGCGGGGAGTATGCGTAACAGACGCGTAACAGACGGCCGACCCGGTCCCTCACGGCACGTGTATCACAGACCGCCACACGAAGCCACGATGGTGGGCAGGCCCTTGCCCGGCACAAGCCAGCCCAAGCTCAACCCCTAGCGCCACATACGGCCCTTATTGCCCAGGAGGGAGCCCAGACACTGAGGGGCAGGAGGTGCGGCCTTCCAGAAGCCTCCCATGCTGCCAGGACAAGGGCGCCTGCCGGCAGTGGGACACAGCACGGACTCCCGCCATCAGTCTGCGCCCAGGGACAATGGCCGTGAGCTCGGAGCAGCCACACACTCCTCCTGCGGGCTCTACCCACCCCCCAGCCACCCTGCCCAGGGCCGCGCAAGCCCAACGGGCCAGGCCACTCCAGGAACATGGTGTCCGGGAATGTCTCCCAGGCGGCAGGAAGCAGCCACCCCCCCTGCCCACTGGCCCCGCCCACAGGACAGATGGCAGGGGACAGTCCACAGGGCAGGGGCCGGCCAGGCATTGCAGGAAGGCCACACCCACCTCTTGGTGGGGGGGGGGGGGGGGCGGCTGTCCCCACCCCTGGCTGGGCCCCCAGGACTGCCGCCCCCTCTCCTTCCAGCACCTTCCACAGGAGTGCTTGCCTGTCTGGCTGAGCGACAGGTCATGAAGCCCCGGGCAGCTGCCCTGATGCCTGTCCCTGCCCCAGCCCGACACTCCTGGGCCATTTACAAATACAGAAACCTGCGTGGCCAAGCCGAGCCCCCCCCCCCCCCGCCCCCAAACCCCACTGAAACCAGGCCCAATGCTAGCAGGGAACAACACGGACGGAGGCACTGCGAGTCGGGTGAGGGACCAGTGCCCTTCCCCGCTGGCCCCGTCTCCCCTCTGACCCCTGAGAGGGGGCCAGCCAGTGAGGGTGAAGGGCTGCCATGCATGGAACCCCCAGCACCCAGGGGGTGGCCCAGCAGCATCCTCAGACCCCGGACATGCCGATCAGGCGGCCGAACCACTGAGAGGGCATGGGGCCTCCTGAGCGCCGCTCAGACCCCCAAACACGGTACCCCGCCCCACCCCCTCCCAGCCGTACCTGCGTAGTGTCCGAGTGCTTGCTCTGCAGCTGCTCCAGGTAGAGCTCGTTGACCTCGCCCAGCACCAGCAGCTGCCGGTTCACGAACTCCATCTGCTGCTGCACCGACTCACTGTTGGAGAGCTGCGGCGGGCGAGCCATGAGCGCGGACGCCCCCAGGAGGGACACCGTGCAGGCGGCAGCTACTCGCCAGGGCGCAGGCCCGAAGTGGGGACGGCTGGATGCACACACAGTACCCGACGCATGGCGGAGGACCTGCCCCCTGCCTGCTGGCCTGTGCCCTACCTTCTGCGCCAGCTGGCTGAGCTGCAGCTCCGTCTGGCACACCCTGCTGTTGGCCTTCTTCAGTTCCAGCCGCAGATCCGCGACCATGTTCCTGCAGTCCTGCAGCTTCGTCTGCGGCGGGGCCAGCGTGGCACAGTGTCAGAGCATCGGGCGGGCGCCCCCAACCCAGCCAGCGGGGAGCCCTCCCTCCCTGCTCCAGCCCCCGGCGAAAGCCCCAGCAGGCGGCGCCCTCTGCCGGCCACTGTGCCAACGACACACTAGCGGTCCGGAGGGCTATTGCCGCACTGGCCACCACAGGGGGTGCTCTGTGAAAACCCAGTGAGGTCCCGCAGGAAGCAGGAAGCTTGGAGTGCCGTCAGCCCCCATCTGCAGAGACCCCACGGAGCCCGGCAGGTTGGAAACTGGTGGGGAACCAGTGTGGACGCTGGTGACCATCCTCCCACACAGGTCCCGAAGCCCAAGGAGGGGCCGGGACCCCCTCGTACAGGGGCTGCTGCGGTGCCTACCTGCAGCTCCTGGCTCTGACTGTAGAACTCCTCGCGGTCCTGCTGCAGCTGCCGGATCTGGCTGTGCAGGTGGCTGACCACGGTGTCCCGCTGCTCCTGCAGCTGGCCGTACCGGGCCTGCTCCCTCTGCAGGCTGGCCTTCAGCAGCTGGATGTCCTTCTCCTGCAACTTCAGCTGGTCTTTCTGGCAGAGACCAACAATGCCCTGTTAGCTGCCGGGCAACACACACTGCAAAGCCAGCCGGGGCCCCTCCTCAAACCACTGCGCCTGGAGCCGTTGGGGAGCTCCCCGCGAACGCACTCAGCCCCGGCCGGGCACCCCGGCCCCCAGGCGGCTGAGGGACCCGTGTGCGTGGGCTGCGGCCGCGCCCAACACAGTCCCCACAGCACGAGGCAATGGAACACGGCAGCCCCCGCCCGCCGGACCCTGCCAGCCGAGCACATCCCCTGGCATCACGTTTGGCGCCATGGCCTAAGGCGGCCACTGCTCTTCTGACCCCACCACCACACTGACCAGCAGGGATGCCCAGAGGCTCCTGACCGGCCCCCGGAGCGCGCGGGGCTCACCATGGCGGCGTTGTGCTCCTCCAGGGCGGCGGCTCGGATCACCCGGCGCAGGAGCCGGCGGTTGCGCAGCGCGTGCTGCTGCCGCTGGAAGCGCTCGTACAGCATCTGGTTCCGCAGCAGGAGCAGCTGCGCCCGCAGCGTGCGCACCTCGTCGGCCGGGGGGGAGCCTGGGGGCACAGGGCGGGCGGCATGGCGCAGAGGCCCCGGCCCAGCGGGAGGGCAGGGCGGGCCGCCCCCCCGGGGCCCCTCTGCCATGCCACGGTCTCCCGAGCCCACCCCGCCCGGGCGGGGCAGCAGCAGGCAAGGGCCCAGGCAACGACTTTACCTCCGAAATGGGTCCAGTCCACAGACCTGCTGGGTAGAGACGACCTAGGGAGGAGGAGCTGGGCTCACACCAGCCCCTCCCGGCCCCCCACTCTGCTCACCCCGGCTCGCGGGGAAGGGGGCGCCTGTCCTGGGGGGCCGCTCTCAAACCCCGCCCCCCATCTCTCGCTTCAGGCGGCGCCCCCACTGGGCCACACGTCCCCGGTTTCTTTCCTCTGAGGGGGCGGGAGCGGGGCCGTTCCAGCGGACCCTGGCTAGCTGGGCAGGGCAAGGCAGGGCAGGGTCCAGCAGGAGCACCGAGGGTCCCCGAGCCGTGCGTGGCCCCTGCAGGGCGAGAGGCGGCAGCACTCGGGACTGACGGGCAGTGGGGCCAAACTGAGGCCCAAGCCCTTCCCACCCTCGGCGCTGCTCCCACGCCCCTCTAAGGTGGCGGCAGCGGCCTTGGGGGAGGGGGAGATGGGTGTGATTCCCTCCACCAGACCCAGGGACCGGAGCAGAGCCACAGCACGGAGGGCACCTGACCTACATGGATGGTCTCCGTAGCCCCACTGGGAGTGACCCGAGCACAGAGCCAGGGACAGGCCCTGGGCACGCCGGGTGTGGCCCAAAAGAAAGAAAAGGTACGGAGAGGAGCGATCCTAAGGGTTTCACTCACGTGACCCCACCTTGGCCTGTCATCACGGAGTATAACCCGTGCCCGGGCCCGCAGGGACCCCTGGCAGCCCCCTGCGTCCCCCCAAGGCGCAGAGGGGGCTGGGCCTCACACTGCAGTGCTCACGCTTCATCATGGATGTGAATGGAGCAGCCGCAGGGAATCTGCCACGAGTCGGCGGCTTGGGCTGGGGGGTCGGACCTGGGGCCTCACCTGCTCAGCTCCGCGCTGTGCACGTCCGCCCCCTGCTGGATCAGTCTGTCCAACACTTCTGCTGGGGAGCTGGACGGCCCCAAGTCCTCCTCGGCGCTCCCCGCCTGCTTCCGGGACAGCTCCGCGGTCTTCTTGCTGATGAAGTGATGGGCAGTCTTTGGCAGTGCCACCTCGAAGAGCTGGTCGTAGGGGGGAGGCTGCCCCCTGGCGGGGCCGGGGGCCCTGGGCGGCGGGGCCTTGTGGGGGCTGGGGGAGAGGATGCTGGTGTCCGAGGCTGCGCGGGGCTCCCGGCCACCCGCGGGGCTGTGGGTGGCGCGCGCGCAGGGCGGCTCAATGGGCGTGAAGGTTTGCTTTGGTGTGTCGGGCCCCGGCCTGTCCAGGGACGAGTGGGGCGGCTCAGGGTTCCCGCCGGGGCCCGTGGCACACGAGGCGGCCGGCTGCGGCTTCCTCGGACAGCCAGGGAGACAGCCGGGGACACTGTCGCGGTAGAAGGGCGAGTCAAAGCCACCTCGGGGGACCAGGGGCTCGGCGTCGGCCGGGGTGATCTCGGAAAGCTCTTGAGATATCGCCGCTGGGGAGGGAGGGAGACGAGAGACGAGTCAGGCCAGCAGGGGTGCCCGCTGCACGTCACCCAGAGAAAGAGCGTGCCTTTCGAGGGGGCTGGACCCCGAGTAGCACCCTGCAGACCCCCCCATACACACGCTCATATGCACACGCTCATACGCACTCGTAACACACACATGCTCGTACGCATGCTCATATACACACACTCATACACTGTGCTCATATGCACAGTCATAGACACACACTCACATACACACGCTAATATACACGCTCATATTCACATGCTCAAATATACACACACTCATATACACACGCTCACATACACACTGATATACACATGTTCACATACAGTCATACACACATGCTCATATACACACACTCACATACACATACTCGTAATATACACACACGCTCATATACACACACGATCACATACACGGACTCATACACACACTTATATACGCATGCTCATACATACTTATACACAAACCCACTCATATACACATACACACATGTACACCCTCATATATATATACTCATACACACATAAACATACACACACACACACACACTCTCTCTCTCTCGCTCTTGAACACACACACTCATACACACACTCTTATACACACACTTTTTCTGAGGGAAAGCCAGCAGCCAGCGCGGGCCAACAGACAGACCCCACAGCACAGGCTCCACCCTGTGGCCCTGCCCAGGCCCGGGGCCCACACGTCTACCTTCCTCCTTATCCTTTTCCACGCTGTCTTCTTCAGACGCCAGCCCTCCGAGAAACCCGGGCAGATCACTCAGAGGCACAGAGCCTTTGTGGCCAGAAAGCTCTTCTAGAGAGACACAGACGGCTCCGGTCACAGAGACAGATGCAGAGACAGACACAGAGATGCACAGGGAACCCCTGTCCCAGAAACGCACAGAAGCCCTCGGATGGGGCAAGGACCACTTCCACCTCCCGGGGGCTATCCCAGCACTAGAGCCCATCCCAGAGGAGACGGCCCACAGTTCTGAACACGTGACCTCCCGGCCCCTCGGTCTGGGCACCAGGTGGGGCGTGCCGGTAGCTTGGCATCTGTGTCACCCACCGCACCTGCTCCTCGGTCGTTGGGAAGGTGGTGTTGTCTGTGCAAACAGGGCCGGGCGGCGTCCGCTTTCTCCTCCTGGAGGGACAAGGAGGGCGATCAGGGCGCAGGCCGGGCCAGGTCCGAGACCCTCACACTGGCGGGACCGGCTGGCCAGCACCGCGGGTCTCAAGCCATCTGGTCTCAGGCACCTTTATCATCTTCAAATGGATCAAGACTCAGAGCCGCCATGCTGGAAATCAGACTTTCAAAAATATTGATCATCTACATGGTATGGCTGAAACTCAATCATGAACGGCCTTGTGTAATGCTCTCATGGTGATTCAATAAAATTTTTAAAAAAATTGTATTTTATAAAAAAATATATGTAGATATATCTACCTGGAAAGAGCAAACCCAGAACCAACACTGGTTTCTCATGCTGTAGGGGACGAGGAAAACTCCCGGAGTCGGGAGAGCGTGTGTGCAGCCAGCCCTGCAGGGGTCCCGGGCCCCCTGGAGAGACTCCTGGGTGTGCCCCTGTGCCCAGAAAATCCAGGCACTACAAATACACGCCTCTAAAAAGCAAACATGCTAAGTTTCCAGATAACCTTTTTCAGTATTAGACCAAATCTGATGTGGGGGGGAGGACGGGGCCACGGCTTAACTCCTGCTGTGCTCAAGGGTCCCTCCTGCGGGGATCGAAGCCAGGCCAGCCGCCTGCCAGGCGAGCTCCCTGCCCGTGCTGAGTGAGAGCAGGTCCAATGTCAGCTCTAACGCCAAGCACCCAGGGCCTGAGGGAACTCGGAGGGCAGCGCCCAGTGACGCTCCGGGTGCTCAGTTCCCAACACATGGTGAACCAGCCTCACCGCTTTACTTCGCCCTCTTCCTTGGGGGGCGAGTGCTCAGCAAGTCCTCCGGGCTTAGTCCGTGGAGTGCCAGAGATCACCCGGGGACTCTGGCCTGTTCCAGCCCCTGCCCGCCCCCCCACCCCGCACCTTTCTCCATCTCAACTCGGAGACTGCCCGGGGGAAGCTGCGACCCGAGCAGGCGGCCTGGTGGCCAGTGTCCCACCGCTCCCCGGTGTCTGGGTACCAGGCGCGGCATGGCCAGCGTGGGCAGGAGCATATGGTCACCAAGCCAAAAAAGGGGGCTTTTATTTCTTGGTGGTTTTTCTTTCGCAGTGAGGGGGTCGGGCTCAGGGACTCAAGCATGTCAGGGAAGCACTTAACACTTAACAGAGCCATGTCTATGTGAAAAAAAAAAAAAAAAACCTTTTTTTTTTTTTTTGGCTTTTGGGTGCTCAGGGCTCCTCCTGGCTCCGTGCCCAGGGATCACTCCTGGTGGTGGCAGGAAGCGAGCCCAGACTAGCTGTGTGCAGGGAAAGGACCCAGCTGCTCCTGCCCTGAGAAAGAATTCCTCCAGGAAGCGATGAGGCTGATGCCACACCGAGTGCCCGGGCAGTGGCATCCTGCTCCTGACGGCAGTCAGCGACACTTTCAACTCTTCTCGTTCAAGCGCTCACATTTCCCGCCAAGATCCTCTTGGGCTCCTAGATGCAGCTGCGGCCAGCGGACACCACACTTACCTTCCTGCTGGGGGCGGCTGTGGCGTCGTCCGGGGCGCAGAGAGGAACTGGCGGAGGCGAGGTGGCCGGGGTCCCCAGGGGCGTTCCTTTTCCACCTGCCCAGAGACACGCATGCAACAACCCCTGAGCGCGCTCTTCTCCCGAGCCCACCCGCCAGGTCGGCGTGAAGGGCCGGGCAGGACCTGCTGTGGCTTGAGGCGCCCACGCTCAGCGTCAGGCAGCCCGGCAACGCACATACCAGTGGTACCGAAGACTTTACTGTAAGGGTGCGACGCGTCGGGGGGGCCATTCCCAGGAGATGTCGGAGGGGTGGTCAGACCACAGACCATCGAGGGGCTCCAGAGGGAGGCCTGCGGACAGACAGGGGCGTCAGGAGTTGGAGCCGTGTCCGGTGGAGTCCCCAGGTCAGCCCATCTGATGGCCAGTTTCAAGCTGAGCCTTTGGGCTGAAGCTTATCAGAGAGTGAGGGGCCTCTGAAGGGACACCCCACTGCAACAAGACCTGGCCCCCCCCCCGACTCAGAAGCCACTCTGGACACTCAGGGGGAGGCTGGCAAACCGTCTGCTGTGGCCGAGTCCGACAGGAGCCACAATGCAGCGGAGCAGGGCAGAGCTGGCCCAAACAGAGACGAGAGCAGAGAGCACAGCAGAGAGCACTAAGAAGAGAGCACTGAGCACAGAGCAATGAGCACAGAGCACTGAGTACAGCAGGCAGAGAGCATGGAGCACTGAGCAGGGAGCAGAGAGCACTGAGTAGCGAGCATGGAGCAGAAACCTCGGGGCACGCTCCTCGCTGTCATACCTGCGACGACGGCTCAGCCGACAGCCGTGCTGACGGGGAACTCAGAGTCTGAGGTAGCTGCCCTGGCGAGCTGAACGCGGTCAGCCGAGAAGAGGAGTGGGGGGTGGAAGTGGCACTCCCTGCAACGACAGGGGCAGCACGCGGTGAGGGGAGGGGGTCCACGGAGCTGAGCACCCCAGGCCCCCACTCCCGCCCAGGAGGACCCAGGGCAGCAGGAAGGTCACGAGGGAGGCCGCGCAGGGCGGGACGGCACTGCGAGTGGGCGCTGGCCAGGCCGGGCTCCCCGGCAGGCTCCTCCCAAGCCAGCCCCACACAGGCGGAGAGCGCCCTTCAGGGGGCCCGGAGACACGGCGCCTTCCTCAGGGGCAGGCGGGAGACTCAGGCAGAGGCTGGGCACACAGATTCTGCAGGACACTCCTGGCCCGGAGACAGGCTCCAAGCCTGGGCACCGGCTGCAGGCAGGAGGGCCGGGTTCGAGTCCCATACAGCAATGTCCCCAGGCACAGCCAGGGGTGACCTCCAAGTACAGAACTGGGAGCTGTCACAAAGCACCGCCAGGGGTGACCCCAAACACCTCCGGCCCCCACCAAAATATTCCATTTAAGGAGTTTATTAGGAGAGGCTGGAGCACGTCTGAATCGGATGCCGGGGACTCAGCTCCTGGGCTTGGTGGGAGCCGGAGCCTCCTACCATGGCTGCTCGGCGTGTCCACGTGAGGGCTGGCGGCGGGGTCGGCCGCGCAGGCAGCGAAGCGGGCGGAGATGGGCTGGGACGCAGAGTAGCCGTCTTCATAGGAGGCTTCGGCAGGGTCGAGGGAGATTCTGGCACACTCGATCACGACATCATGCGTCTCTAGCCTCTTCCACCTGTGCGAGGCAAAGCCGAGACGTGGAGGTGGCGATGTGGCCCTGACAGTCCCAGCAGCCAGCGCCCGCCTCGGTCACTTCCAAAGAGCACGGCAGGCGGGGCCGGAGCGACAGGACGGCGGGGAGGGCGTTTGCCTGCACGCAACCAACCCAGGCTCGATCCTCGGCATCCCGTGTGGCCCCCAGAGCACCACCAGGAGCAATTCCTGAGTGCAGAGCCAGGAGTGACCCCTGTGCATCGCCGGGTGTGACCCAAAAAGCAAAAAAAAAAAAAGAAAAGAAAAAGAAAAAAGAACACGGCAGGCCCCGAAGGAAAGTGACATCAGCGCCCAAAGAACACGTCTCATTCCACAAACCTGCCCCCGTTCAGAACAGTCCTTCAAGACCCACCAAACAGAGGCAGCGGTGGCCAGACACTGGGCGGTCCCTCCCCCACCCCGCAAGCTCTCCGCGCACAGAGCAGGCAGACCTGGAACCAGAGCCCTGCTGCGAACACGTCGTCTCTCAGCCACGCCGGCTCAGGCCAACCCAAACCCAGGCAGAGTCCAAGAACCACAAGGGAACTGTCCACACAGCCCTGCCCCGCGTGGACCCAGAGAAGAAAGGGGCCCCCAGAGCCCAAGCACAGGGCGGTCCCTGGAACCCTGGCGTGCAGCAGCAGGGGACGCGCACAGGGGAAAGAACCTCCCGTCTCACATGCAGCCTTGGGGCACGGGGGGGGGCGCCGGACCCCTCCCTCTGCCAGCCGGGCCGGGGCTCTGAGCTCCCGACCCGAGATGCGGTGCCAGCGTCCCCACCAGGACTCGCGTCTCAGTGCCCGGCTTGGGGGCTGGCCAGGGTGTCTGTGACCTGGAAGTGGTCCCGGGGCCACTCCCCATGGCTCAAGTGACCCCTCTTTCCTGCCAGATGTCAGGCTTCCCGCCCTGATCATTTATCCTTTGGGGGACTCTGGGGGATTGGGTCGCACCCAACAGTGACCCGGGGTCACTCCTGACGGGTTCGGGGACCCTAAGGAGTGCCGTGACCGAGCTGCGGTAGCTACACAACCTGCCAGGCCCTGGCCTGCGGCTGCACCTTCAGCCCTCATGGCTCGGCTCTGCCTCCCAGTTCCACAGGGCCAACCCGGCCTCTTCCTCGCAGGCACCGAGTTGTGGTTCTCGAGACCTTTCTCCAGACACAGCTGCTGGCCGCAGCCTTGAGGGAATGGAGCCTCCCCCAACCCCGACTCGGGCCTCCCTGCCGATTTCTCGGCCTTCTCTCCCCTTCATGCTGGCCTCCTGCTTGGGTCAGAGCTGTCTTCAGAGCCCGGCTAACCCTGCCGACCCACAGGAGAGTGGCATTCCCAGCTGACCTGGGAGACTTCAGGCAATACAGCAGAACAAACACCAGCCTCCACTGCGTGACCTGCCCAAAGCCCCCCACCCGTTCCTGAGGATCAGCCCCAGCAGCTGGGGAGGAGGGCGCAGGGCACCGTGCTGAGCCCGGCGGGAACGGACAAGGTGTGACCAACTCCGCAACACCAGAATCCTCAGCTGCTCATGTCCCGGAGTGCCCAAGAGGGAGGGAACCGGGTGCGAAGGCAGCCAGTCAGCACAGCATGAGGAGCAGGCAGTGGAGGGGCTTACTACGTGCCACCCCCCACCCCCACCTGGCTTGGAGTCCTGGGCAGTCAGCCAGAAGCCTCTGCAGAGGAGCAGGGGCTGGATGGCGGGGAAGCACCAGCCTTGCAGGTAGCCGACATGGGTTCGAGCCCTGCCACCCCATATGGGGTCCTGAGCGCAGTGTCTGGAGTAAGCACTGGGCGTGGGCCCCCCAGCCCCCTCAAAGCCCAGCAGCTTGAGAGGACGAAACTGAGTATTCCTGCAGACACAGAGCACAGAGAAGGACAATGGGCACGGTACATTCACCCAGGCACAGCAGATACCCGGGTCTGCAGAAAACCTCAAAACGTTGAAAAATGGCAATTAACAAAAACCACTAAGATTGCATAGGAAATAAAAACCCATATAAAAAAAAGAAAAAAAAACTCATGACTAACATTCTCAAGCCAGGAATCCAACCGCTGCTCTGAAATGGACGCACGAGCCGTCACCGAGTGAGCCCTGGTCTGTCACCAACTGGGTGGTAGGAGCACCAGCAAGAACCGAAGCCGGGGCCAGAGACAGGACAGCGGGAGGGCCTGTCTGTGCACGGCGGACCCCAGATGGGGTCCCCCAGCACCCCAGATGGTCCCGAGTTCCACCAGGAGCCGGGGGCAGTCAAGAAAACCGAAAACCAGAAGCCCGATTGGCTCAAGAGAAGGAAGCTTCCGGATGGCGCCGGCGCAGAGGAGGAAGGGGGAGGCCAAAAGCCGTCCCAGGGACTGGCCGTCTGCGAGAGGAGCGGGGACAGAGGTCCAGGAGGGGCCCCGGGAGCCGAGGGACATGACCCTGAGCAAGGCTCCCAGGGCAAACTGTCTTCCAGAAGGTTCTCGTGTCTCCGCCTCGCATGCCCCAGAAGCGGCTCCTGCCAACGTAGGCAGGGCAAGCGTGGGGAGCCAGTCTGCCCCCGCCGGCCCCGGGGTCTGTCCGAGCGCGGGAGGACCCTCTCCTTCCTGAAGCCCGGCCTCCTTGCTCACTTCCAAACAGAAGCAGCCACACAAAGACGTGGCGGGGGTCCCCCTGACCACAAACGCTGGCAGGGCGAGCATAGAGAGGCCAGCTGGGGGCAGCCACTGTCAGCATCATGCCTGCCCTCTGGATGGACTCTGCAGGGAGCAGGGTCAGCGGGCTGGGCAGGAGGGTCCCCAGACCTCAGTCCCTGTGGGCATTTGCTGCCTGGGGAGCAGAGGGCAGGCGGCAGGGCACTGGGGGGTCTTGGCACCAGCTCCTGCTCCAGGGTGCAGGAACAGAGTTGGGAGCCCAGCTCAGCACGTGGACTTCCCCCACCCCCCCTCACCCCCAGCACCCTCCTGGGCTCATTGTGCAGAGCCTCCCAGGGTCCCGCTGGCCAGCGAGGGGGTGCCCATGTCAGCCTGGGGTCCAGGTGTGTGACATCCATGTGCGTCTGAGGCCTGAGCACTGTCCGGGCAGTGGCTCGTCATGCAGGGAAACAGCCCAGGCCACTGCCCACTGCCGCCCTCTCGGGAGCTTCTGGACATTTCTGGGTCGGCACTTCGGCGTCTGTACCTTCGAGGGTCCAGTTCATGGTCCTTGGATCCAGTCACTAACTCTGGGTGAATTCGTACGTGCTCCATCATTGGCTGGAAGAGTTTGGGGTGACAAGTTACAAAAGGCACTGCGCCAGGGGCCCACCACACATGGAGGCCACGCGATACTCCAGCCCGGCGTGCTCTCCCGGCGCGGGCAGCCAGGAGGGACGGACACCGCTGCTGGCCCCCTCCCCCTCCCACCGCAGTTGGGCGAGAAAGGCGCGGTCCGAGCGAGGGCCGGGACCCGGGTTGGCCTGACTCACCTTGACCACTTCCTCAAACGTCTCCAGGTTCTCCTTCATGCTGTAGTGCGAGCGCAGGAAGGACACGAAGTTGCAGGGGTACATCCCGTAGAGACGGTGGAAGAGCGCGTAGACGCTGGCGTGCAGGTGCACCAGGAAGACTTCCGTCACGTGGCCTAGAGACACGCAGCTGGAGAGCCCGACCGGGGCGACCACTGACCCCGAGCCCGGGAGTCTCTGCTGCCGGAGCCCCCCGGCTTCAGAGAGGGGCTCAGAAACACCCACCCCATGCCCCTCCCGATGCCTCGGCGGCCTGTCGGGGGCTGTGGACGGGCCCCCCCACTGGGGCTCTTTGGGATTGAATCCTAAAATCCTCCCTCTCCTGACCATCCTCAGAGGGACCGCGACAGGCTCACATGCTCCCCCCAGTGCATTCAAGCAGACCCCGCCACTGCCCGAACACTGGCTTCCTGGAGCAGCCTGGCCGGGCTGGCCTGGGGACTCGGGGGCTGCCCGAGGGTCCGTGAGACCCCACGCACATGCGCACACAGGCTGGGCGGCAGCTCTCAGGACACCTGAGCGGGCTCTCTATGCGGGGGAGGGGGGAGTGAGGGTCCAGCCCCAGCACCCCACAAACCCCATCCTCTTGTGGGACTAACCCCTGAGCACCTTAGGGTGACCCCAAAACAAACAAAAAATATATATTTTATTAAATAAAATTTCATGTATAGGGGCCAGAGAGACTGAGTGGGGGCCACGGCACCTGCCCTAAGTGTGATGGGCCTCGGTTCCATCCCGGGACCGGCCAGGAGTGATCCCTGAGCACAGAGCCGAGATTAAGTCTGAGCACAAGGTGTGGCCTCAAACCAAGCACCCAATGGGAACCCGCTACAGCCTGAGCACTGCAGGTCTGCACCTCCGAGTGAAGCTCTGAGCTTGCGTGGGGCCTGCCGGGCGCGCCCTGCTGACCCAGGCCTGGGCAGGGCAGACTGTCTCTGCAGGGAAGACTCCCACCCTCTGCTCAGGTCACCAGAGCCTGATGTCCACGTGCTCAGAGTGCTAGTGTCCTTCCAGGCCCGGGGTGACCCCCTGCACTGCAAACCAGACAGGTATGCCTCTCGGCACCAGGGTCGGGGGTCCTTCCCACAAGCCAGAGAGAGAAGGTCCCCCAGGTGGATCCCCCCCACCGCCGCGGCCACCCGCTGCATCAGGACGCTTCTGTCCACTGCGTGGCTTCTCTTGGTGGACACTCACCCACTGCAGCCAGCAACAGGAAGGCAGGCTGTCCCCACCGCCCGGGTGCCGCCGCCAGGGTAACTTCTCGGGCTAGTGACACTCCCTGCCCACCTCAGGGACCCGACTCCCGGATTTCGCACGGAGCAGACAGCGAAAGCGTTCCCCAGATTCAGTAGGCAGGAAGGCTCCTTACCTGGCTTCTTCAGGCACCAGGAGGAAAGACGGCCGAAAATATCAAAGAAATCGTGCAGGTGCTGCTTCCCGCACTGGGGGATCATGGGCAGCAGGATGATGAGCACGAGGACGCCCGTGGTGAGCACCAGCACGTCCGTGTCCACCTGCGGGGCAGCACCAGGCACACCATCGGGCCACACGGTCCCACCCGGCCACACAGTCCCACCCGGGCAGAGGGGGCGCGGTGCGCACAGGCCCCAACTCCGAAGAGCCGGCCACGGTCACTGGTCACGGCCACGCAGGGGCTCCGGAAACACCCCTCACAACTTGGACACACCGTTTCCCTGCTCCTCCAACCCAGCCTAAACCACCCACTTCGCGCTTTTTGATGCTGTTGTTAACGCTGGGGGCTGGGGGCTGGGGAGACCATTTAGTGGGGCGCCCTTGGGTTCATTCCCCGTACCCCACGTACTCCCCCATGCCCTGCCAGGAGTGATGCCCAAGCACTGCCAGGAGGGGCCCAAAAATAAGAAATAAAAATAAAAACACCGTTGGGCCAGGGAAATAGTACAGCGGGGAGGGAGCTTCCTTGCATGTGGCCAACCTGGGTTCAATCCCCGGCACCCCACAGAGGCCCCCAAACCAGGATTCATTCCCGAGTGCATGAGTAACCCATGTGCAAAGCCAGGTGTGACCCAGAAAGAAAAAAAATAATTAAAACCCTACTTGGGGCTGAAGGGTGGGCCCAGCACTGCAGCGCAAGCCCTGCATTCCCCTGGAGGACCCGATCCCGCCCAGCTTGGTCCAGCAGCGCTGCTGGGGCTGCCCCCTCGGAGAGACGCTCCCGCTGACTGGCTCTGCTCTGTTTCTCTCACGAGGCGACAGGAACCAAACCCAGGGCAGCACACGTAGGCAGCGTCTCCTCTGGGACTGAGCTCTGTCCCTCGGGAAGACCCACCCTCAGTGGTCAGGGGCGACCCCTGGCTCCGTGCTTGAGGGGAAGCACCACAGTGCTCAAGAAAGAGGCTTCTGTGGTGTGGGACAACCGCAGCCACACGTGGAAGGCAGTGCCTTACCGCCGCCCGCCGCCCTTCAAGGGCCACCCCGAAGTACAGTGTGAGCCGCTCAGGGGCGGAGGACAGGCTCCACACATGGAGACCCGGGTCCGATTCCCACCATCCCAGGGCTCCAGAGCACTGACAGGTCCAGTCCCAAACACCGGCCAGGAGGAGCCCCTGAGCATTGCCAAATGTGGCCCTAATAGGGAAAAAAAATCACATCAAGGAGCTAATTTAATGACCCACCTTCCTGGCAGAAGTGACCAGCAGGAAATCTGGGAGCCCGCTGACGCTGACAGCGTGGGAAGTGCAGACGCCGCGTCACCTGACTTGAGGCTGCTCAGAAGCCCCAAACCCAGTGGCTAACAGGTCCCTCGGGCTACCTGAAGAGGTTCCCCTGACCCAGAACACAACAGATGCCTGCCAGACCGCAGACAAGCTGCTGATCAGATCATGCGGGTGGGCGAAACGTGCATCACTCCTACCAAAAAAGGAACCTATGATTGGATATTGGGCGGGGGTCTGGGGGCCACGCCTGGCAGTGCTCAAGGCTGACTTCTGGCTCTGCACTCAGAGATCACTCCTGACAGGCTTGGGGGACCGTATGGGATGCCGGGGACCAAAGCTGAGTCGGCTGCGTGCAAGGCAGGCCCCTCCCCACGGCCCTACTTTGGCCTGCCGTACGTAGTTTTACACCAAGCCTTGTAGCAGACCTCTACTAAGCACACAGACAGCAGAATAATCACGAGTGCAGACCACGCTCCAGTGAGAAGCACCAACCTTCATTTTGTTGGTAACATTCTTAACCGGAGGCTCGGGCAACTGCCCCTGAGTGATCTTTCCGGCTCACCCTTTTGAAAAGGGTGTTTTGCAACCAGAACTGAACACATGTACCCCAAGCCTGAAGGTTATACTAATCAACCCATTTGCTTTAAAATGGGAAAAAAAAAAAACACCGCTGTTAAAAGAGTCCCTGCTCAGTCTTACCATACAGAAGCATTTTCCTGCTACCCTACTCACGGCAACTTGGGACTCACCTCTAGGGATGAAGCTACCCCTAGTGGCAGGGACATAACTCAAATTTCACTATGCCACGTGAGGTGAAGCCAAAGGAACTGTCACCCTTGAACAAATGCTACTGGATGCTCCGTGTCCCCGGGAGGCATGGGCAGCTCACATTAACCACTTTCTTATTTGACGCATAGGACACAAGTGCAAGAACAAAAGCAGGTTAGGCAAACAGCCAGGGTCATCTCGACAAGCCCTGTCATAACACCGCGACATTCTCCTGAGCTTTCAGTTCCCATGCAGAAGTGCTCCAAGGGGGCTCGCAGACATCAGTTTTCGATCAACCAAACCTGACATGCTGTGAGCGTCTGGAAGAGCCTTCCAGCCCTTCCTTCTCAGCTAGCTAAGGGAGCACCAGGACTCGAGGCTCAAGAGACACAGAGGGTCTGAGGTGGAGGAAGGCGAGACAAACTGATGCGATCCGAGAGGGTGGACCGTAATGTGGAACCAATTAGGCTGAAACATTACCACACTTGCTTGGACCAAAGCCAGCCTCCCCAAGCAACGTGGACTGAGAACTCAGTGGCCATCCAACCCGGGACCAAACAGTCAATTCCAAAAAAGACAGCCTGAACGTGTTTCCGTATATGCAAAGTTCAAACCCAGCTGGCCCGTTGAGGTCACTGAGGCTCCAGGACTCTGCAAGCCTGTCAGTGCGTGTGCGCACGCGCGCACACACACACACACACACACACACACACGTGTGCACACATGCGCGCGTGCACACATATGCACACACACAAGCACACACACACACACCTGCACACACATGCGCACACATGCACACGCACACACGCACACACGCACACCCCCGCAACATCGTACCTTGAGGCATTTGAGCAGAGAAGGCAGGAGAGGGGCCTGAGAGAGCTTGTGTTTCCAGGACGGCTGCAGCCTCACGACGTGCCCCAGCAACACCAGGGTGGTGAGCCGAGAGGTGGCTTTGCCCACATACTCATTCATCTTGTCCAAGAGGTGCTGGGGAGAATAAACAGAGCTCCAGGTCCCGGTGGCTTTGGCATGAGGGCCGAAGGTGACGAAAGCAACGGCAGCACGCATGCGATGGCCTTGCTGGCCCCCGAGCAACCCCAGAGCAGGCGAGCAGCAGCGGCGCCTTCCCTGGGCCCGACGCAGAGCCGCACCGAACAAGCGGACTCGCGCCTTGCCACCTCTCCAAGCACACACAGGCCACTTCGTTTTGGGGGGTCCCACCCAGAGATGCGCAGGGGTCACTTCTGGCTCTGCACTCAGGAATCACTCCTGATAGTGCTTGGGGGGCCGTATGGGATGCCGGGGATCGAACCCGGGTCATCCGCGTGCAAGGCAAGCGCCTCCCCGCAGTCTTTACACTCTGGCCCCACAATCTGCTTCTTCCAGCACCCGCTGGGCCAAATGGAGCTGGACACTGTGGGAGCCATGAGCGGCCCGTGCTGGAAGCTGCCCCTCCTGCTCCGGCCCGGCCCTCAGTCTGGCCCACAGTGGAAGGGCAAAGAAAAGAGCGGAACGGAGAGCGGCACCAAGCACAAGGCGAGCAAAGTCTGGTCAAGAGCAGGCAGAGGCCCAGACCTCAGCCACGCCTGCGACACTCAGCTATTGGCTCCGGCTGCCCCAAACCAAAGTGAAAGGCAGAGACACGGAGCCACTGAGGCAGGCGCTGGGCCACAGGTGTCTCCGTCAGTCGCTTGCTGCCCAGCAACGCCTGCGCCAGGCCTGGGCCTGAACACATCTGTCTTGGGACGGCTCTCCCAGGCAGCCCAAGCGCAGGTACCAGGAACTCTAGACAGAACCTCAGAAGGCCGGCTCTACCCACCGCTGTCATGACACGCTGGTCCCACAGAGCCAGGAACTTGGCATCTGGGACTGGCTGCTCAAACACGGGCTCATGCAGCTGAGCACGGGGGTCACTTTAAAATGAGGGGCTGGAGCAACAGCACAGCGGGTCGGGCGTTTGCCTTGCACGCGGATGACCCGGGTTCAATTCCCAGCATCCCATATGGTCCCCTGAGCACTGCCACGAGTAACTCCTGAGTGCAGAGCCAGGAGTAACCCCTGTGCATCGCTGGGCATGACCCAAAAAAAACAATGAGGGGCTAGAGTGATAGCACAATGGGTAGGGCATTTGCCTTGCATGCGATGGACACGGGTTCAATTCTCAGCATCCCATAGGGTCCCATGAGCACCACCAGGAGTAACTCCTGAGTGCAGAGTCAGGTGTGACCCCAAAAGTCAAATAAATAAATAACATAAATAAAATGAATCCATGATTTACTCTCTGATAATGCTGCATTCAAGGACCTATTTGCATGCCCAGACAGCAGTGGTCACAGGAGGCCTTCCCAGGCACAGTGGAGGCAGCGGGGCTGACGTCCAGCCCGCCCAGCATCACCCACCTTGTCGTGAGGCTCCTGCAGGGTGGTGAGGATGTCCAGGACCGACTGGGAACTGCTCTCCATGTAGTAATCCACCAGGGCGTTGACAAGCATGGGGCCACGGTCTGCACGGAGCAGAGGGCATGGTCACGGAGGCTCCCGTGCCGGGCCCCGCCGGGCTACGCAGCGATGCGGCCCCACAGCACGGCTGCTCCAAGGGCACCTGCCACGAACGCTGGCGAAAAAGTCCCTGCTTTGGCAGGGGGCCGGGCCCGATGCACGGAGACTACTCCTGGCTCAGTGCTCGGAGCTGCTCCCTGTGTGGTTAACAGGCCAGGCAGGGCCGAGGATGGAACCCACGTGCAAAGCCTGAGCTCAGCACAAGGGGCATCTCCCTTTCGCGCCTTTATTTCAACACCCAAAAAGAACCCACGTCTGCTGCAGCAATTCCGGTCGGATGAGAGTTCATACAACTAGGCTGGGGAGGAGCACAGGGGACAAGGCATTTGCCTCAGATGCGGCTGACCCCAGTCCCATCCCCAGCACCATGCAGGGTCCCCGAGCACCAGCGGGATGACTGAGCACAGAGCTGGGAGTGGGCGCCGAGCAGTCTGGGGGGCACGGCCCCCAGCCCTCCCCGCGCCCAAAAAAGTAGACAGAAATGGGACTGGAGCAATAGCACAGCAGGGAGGGCGTTTGCCTTGCACGCAGCCGACTCTGGTTGGATCCCCAGCATCCCATCTGGTCCCCCAGCACCGCCAGGAGTAATTCCTGAGTGCAGAGCCAGGAGTAACCCCTGAGCATCGCTGAGCGTGACCCAAAAAGAAAAAAAAAAAAGAAGACAGAAACCCAGAGCTGGTCCACAGCACGCTCCTCTGCGTGTGCTGGAGGATGTCTGGAACTGAGAGTCTAAGACAGAGGACCCGGCCGGCCTGGCTCGTCCCCAGGACCCCGGGAACGGGCGCGCAGCAGAGCAGGGGCGGCTCACCCGAGCTGAGGTTCTCCCTGAAGACAGCCGCCACGTCGTCGCGCACGCTCAGCACAGGCGAGTCCAACATGGCGAGCAGCTCCCCGAGGTTGGCCTGCTGGGCCATCGTCTCCCGTGATGCGCTGCCGGAGCAGGCCGGGCATCACACACGCGGCAGGCTCTGCGTGGGTGCCATCACCAGCCTGAGGAGAGACAACGCCGCCACCGAGACTCTACCTGCACCCCAGAGAAAGGTCTGGTCGGAGTTCTGCAGTCTGAAGTGATGGCACAGCAGGGCACGTGGCCCTGCACATGGCTGACCTGGGCTTGGTCCCCAGCACACACAGGGTCCCCCAGCACCACCAGGAGTGCTCCCTGAGGGCCAAGAGTAAGCCCAAGCACAGCGAGGTGTGACCCCAAACAAACAAAAGGAATTTTGCTGACGGGGAGGGCACCTGTCTTGCACACAGTGAACCGCGGTTTGATCCCCAACACTGCATGTGTCTCCCAGCACTGCCAGGAGTGACTCCTGAGCACCCTCTTGTGTGGTCCAAAACCAAAAAAAAAAAAAAAACCCACACAGAGATTTGAATAATTCTTTTTTGTTTTGGTTTGGGGCACATCCAGTGATGCTCAGGGGTTACTCCTGGCTCTGTGCTCCAGAATCACCCCTGTGGGCCTCGGGGGAAGAGATGGGATGCCAGGGATCAAACCTGGGTCAGTCACATGCAAGGCAAACGCCCTCCCTGCTGTGCTATGGCTCCAGCCCCTGAATAACTCAATCCTCAACAAATCTATCCAAAGGGATTCTGTGAAATACAGTCATGAGAGAGAAATCTGATTAGTGATCATCATGGTGAGTTAGTAACAAAACTTACGGGAACTTTACTCCTGCAGAATTCTGCTCTGGACTCCAGCTGTTAGCTTCAGATCAGTCTGGGAGAGACTGTTTGTCAGAAAAGGGAGGGAAAGCCCAGCAATTTCCTGGGCTTTCCACAAGGTCCATGAAGGACAGTGGGCAGGGACACACAGTGGGCCGGAGCTCAATTCCCGATACTACTGTGGTCCCCACCCCACGCCCGGACCCCACCAGGAGTCTGTGAATTCAGCCCTCATTTAATCACAGGCTGCTGGCACTGCACCAGGCCACTGGATAGACGGGCAGAAGAAACTGCCAGCTTCCAGCCTGGGGTTCTCAAAAGCAACGAAGCAAACGTCTGATCTTCACACACACAAAAGGACCCAAAAAAAGCTCCTTCCTGGGGCTGAGAGCACAGCACTCGGGGCACTTGCCTTGCACGCACCTGACCCACGTTTGCACCGACAGGAATGATCCCTGAGCAGAGCCAGGAGAAATCATAGCTGGCTGTGCGCCCCCCAAAGAAACACCTCATTCCTCAAGTCTCAGCACACACCAATAATTAGGATGTCTCCCTGCCTGGCTCTCTGCGCTCCCATTTACAGCTTCCAAAGAGGGACCCACACGCTCCCGACTCAACCACTCGGTGACCAGGGCGCTTGCCCCAATTTGCAGGGGCAGAAACCGAAATCAAGCAACTTGCTAGATCGCAAAACTAGCCAGAAGCTAAAAGAAGGAAGATCGGAAATCTGAGCCCTTGCTTGTCTCCCAGTGCCTCGGCCAGCCTGGTTCGCTCTGCGAGAAGCCCATTGTCTCCTGAACACACACCCCCTCTCGCTCCTCTCTCAGCTTTCTAAGTAAGTTCCCATGAAAGCTACCTTGCTTTACCACACAAATCACTGAATAAAAATTTTAAAAAGAAATCACAAAGGATGTCCACTTTAAAGGGCACCGCGAGACCATGGTAGGATTTGGTTGTTAAAGGGCTCCAAACTGTAGAGAAGCAGGCCCCCGCTCCCGGCCAGGTCAGGGGGATGAAGGATGGTGGCAGGGCACCTGGGGCACTGAAGGCCAGCTCGAGACTCAAGACCCTGAGGCCGGCACTTTTAGGTCTGCTGGCCTTTCTTTTGGTTTGGGGCCATATCCAGAAATGCTCAGGGCTTCCTTCTGACTCTACACTCAGGAATCACTCCTAGTGGGGCTCAGGAGACAATCAGGGGTGCCGGGGATTGAACCCAGGCCAGCCATTTGCAAGGCGAGCGCCCTCCCCACTGTCCCACGCCCTAGCCCCCTCATGTGAGCTTTCTTTGGTGAGGCTGGGGTCCTGGTTTGAGGACCACACCAGGGTGCTCAGGGGACCATGCAGGCCCAGCTCCCACAAGCAGGGCCACACTGGAGCCCCAAAACCATCTCCCTGGCCCCAGGATGGCTCTTTATTGTTCCGGTTGTCGAGGTTTGGCTGACTTGGCTCTTGGGCGACACCTGGCTGTACTTAGGGCTCAGGGATCCCTCCTAGCTGTACGGGAGACGTTGACTCAGAAACCAAAAGAAAAAAAAAAAAAACTAAAGAAAGCTCATTAGAACATCCTGGGTAACATTCTTTAGTTCTAAATTCTACTTTTTTGGGGGGGGGTCATCTGGGCCCCACCCAGCAGAGCACAGGGCTTACTCCTGGCTTTCCGCAGAGCTCACTCCTGGCGGACACTCGCACTGGACAGCGTGGCGCCGGCCCCCCAGAGCACTGGCCCCTACAAAGGCACCCGTGGGGATCCCAGGGAGTTTTCCCCGTGAATGCTCAGCATCTTCCCAGGGTGAGAGAGAGCACAGCGGGAAGGAACTTGCCTCGTATGTGGCGAACCGAGTTCCAGACCCAGCATCCCAGGAGTGATTCCTGAGCGCAGAGCCAGGAGTAATCCCTGAGCATCGCCGGGTGGGACCCCAAAAAGCCAAAACAAACCAAAAAAATGTGCTACGTAAGAAAAAAAATTTTAACCTGGGGGGTTTGGGTGAGTTCTATACCCAGCACTACTCAGGGATCGCTCCTGGTGGGCTCAGGGGATCACACGGGGGGCTAGAGTCAAACCAGGCCAGCACATAAGACAAGCATCTTTCTATTTACACTCTCTCTCCAGTCCCTGAAATTATATCTTTATTCCAACATATATAGAATTGTTTGTTTTTTTTGGGGGGGTGGTGTCAAAGGTCCACATCCAGCGATGCTCAGGGATTACCCCTGGCTCTGCACTCAGGAATTACTCCTGGCAGTGCTTGGGGGACCATACGGGATGCTGGGAATTGAACCCAGGTTGGCCACATGCAAAGCAAATGCCGTACCCGCTGTACTACCACTCCAGTCCCGAGAATTGTTTTGTGGCATATATTACAAGCAAAAGAACCTGTCATCAATTTTTGTCTTTAATTTGCCGTCTCAATTTTAAACCATTTGTCAATAAATTTATATTTTTGGAATACAGCTCATTGTGTGGGTGAATTAAAAATAACACGTCAAGGGGCCAGAGAGATAGTATAGCCTGGTTCCATCCCTGGCATCTCTTGGGTACCCCAAGCACCACCAGCTGCTGAGTGCAGATTCAAGAGTAATCCGAGAGCACTCCCAGTGTGCCCAAAAACCAAAACTAAAATTAAAATTTAAAATTTCAGGCCACAGTGATGGTACAGTGGGTAGGGTACTTGCCCTGCACATGGCCAGCCCGGGCTGGGTCTCCAGCATCACATACGGTCCACTGAGGCCCAGCAAGAGTGAGCACAGGGCTGGCGTCAGCATTGAGTGTTGCCAGATGTGACTGAAAACTAAATATAAAATAAAAACGTAAAATGTTAATCTTTCACTTTTGGTAAAAAAATAAAAATTCGCCAACAACATCTACACTAAGTCATCCAGCAGTCAGACATCAGGAATACAGAGAGTGGGGGCTGGAGACAGTCCAGCCGGAGGGCACTGGCCTTGCACACACGCCCCACAGGGTCCCTTGAGCCCCGCCAGGAGCAGTCCTGAGCAATAGCAGGTGTGGCCCAAAAACCAAACCCAGGGCTGGAGTAATAGTACAGCCGGTAGGGTGTTTGCCTTGCACACAGCCGACTGAGCTCAATTCCCAGCATCCCATACGGTCCCCTGAGCACCTCCAAGAATAATTCCTGAGTGCAGGAGCCAGGAGAAGCCCCTGTGCATTGCCAGGTGTGACTCAAAAAGAAAAAATAAATAAATAAATAAATAAACAAAAACCAAACCCAAACCAGCCTGTGGACTGGAGGGTGCTCAGAGCGCTGAGTGCTGACCTGCCAGAAGGGGCACAGGCTCTGCACCGGGGATCACCCCTGGGCACCACCCAGTGGCTCCCAACACTGCAAGGGAGTCACCTGATCCCCAGGAGGGGCCCAACAATAAACAAAACTACTATACATGCGCACATATGTAATATAGCAAATGCTGCACTCGCACTGAGGAGATAAAGACGAACAGGAAAACCCACATTAAGAGGAAGAGGAGGTGCTCAGCGAGAAGGAGAAAACAGCCCCAGAATGGCCTCTCCTACTGGGATATAAAGAACCTCCTAGGGAGCATCAAACGCCCCGTGGCAACAGACACGAAGGCCACCAACTGGTCCTCAGCAGGCAGCCTGGCACTGGGGCGGGATGGGGGACAGATACTCAGGGACAGTGGGGGAGAGGAAGGCCTGCCACAGAGGTTGGCTGGGATGGGGCGGGGGACGGGACTGGGGACATAGTGGAGAGGAGGGGGACATGGTGAAGGGAACAGTGTTGGAATAATTTACATCTCTGGAACTCCATCATAAGCACCTTTGCAATTCAGTGATTCAATGAGAGAGAGAGAGAGAGAAAGAGAGAGAGAGAGACCTGGGCCTAAGAGAGCACAGAGAGGTGGCCACTTGCCTTGCACACAGCTGACCAGGTATGACCCCCAGCACCCCATCTGGTCCCCCAGTCACCAGGAGTAACTTACTCTGTAAGCCCTGACACCGCCAGGGGTGGCCCCAAAAACAAACAAAAACCAAGCTTGGAGCCAGGGAGAAGGCACGCCAAGCTGGAGCTCATGCTCGTGCTCATCCCAAGAAACACGAGGGAGTCCTGAGCACTGTGCTGCGAGAAGCCCCTGAGCACTGCCAGATGAGTGAGATCCAAAACCTGAAACCAGGCGGGGCTGGCTTCACTCACTGGCCTGACTGGCCTCTCGCCAGGCTGCTTGGGCAGGTTCCGCCAAGAACAGAGTCAGCGGAGCCACGCAAACCAGGAGGCAGACCATCGCCACACGCCTGGCAGGGCAGTGCTGGCCGCATGTCCTGGGCTCTGTCCTCTCGGAGGCTGCCACCTTCCCACCTCGGACACAGTGGCCCTGACCAGTAGCAGCTGCCAGGGTGGCCGGGAGAGACAAAGGCCATTGGCTGGTTTAGCCGTGACAGCGGCAGCGCCCTGTGGTAGAGTCCCCACACAGGCTCTGCGGAAGCCCAGGGGACCTCTTGGCCCAACCCCCTGCCTGGACGGCGGCGAGTCGCAGCAAAGGGGCCGTGACAAGACGGAACCTGTGCCACATGCCCGACAGGGTCGGCTGCCGGACACCGCCAGGAATCACCAGAACCCAAAGGCCCAGGAGCACCGACACCAGCCTTACCTGCTCCGGGGACCACGGGGGCGTCAGTTTCCAGTGCCAGCAGCCGGGGGCCTCTCATGGTCACTGAAGGGAAACACATGACAGGCCCTTCTGCCTGAGCCCAGGCGCCCGTCCCCGGCAGGGGGCTGCTCCCACCCTCCCGCCCGGCTTCCCATGCCTCCGCCCAGGGGCTGAGGGAGGGGAGGCCCCGCACCCACACCCGCCCCTCCCTCCTCTGGCCACAGACGAACGGGCACATCCACCCAGGCTGGGCAGTCCCCAAACGTATCCGGCCCAACGGGTGGGGAACTCGCTTCCGTCTACACAACAAGTTGCTGAGACCCCCAAGTAGCGGTCATTTCTCTCTACCCCGTTTATTACACTTAAATAATCAAGTCGGACGTGAGTGGCCATGCGTCAGCATGCTATGAAAACGGAGGCCTCAAACTGTGGGCTCCCCACCCCCCAACACCTACAGCCTATCTCAGCATCCAGCCACTGTTCAGAGCAGCCAAGACCGTGTCCGCTGCCTTGGTGGCTGTCCAGGGCTGTGGTCGCACACAGAGAAGCTGGGAAGCAGCTCCACACACACCGCCCTCACATCCTCTCAGAGCAGTGACCATCTCTGGCCCCAGGTGACAAGTCCTCTCTCTCTCCTTTCCCACAGTGGGGCCCGAGAGACAACTGTGGCCAGGCAGCGGTGGGCAGCCTCAGGGCTGGCGAGCCTTCACACAAGCCACTCACTCAACCAGGGGAAGCCTGACAGGAGAAGGTCTGAGCCGCGACCCCTTGGTCCTGACACTGTGTCACGGCAGGGTGACACTCCCTGGGGCTCGGCCAGCTTTATCGGGGGACCAGAGGCAAGTGCGGCCCAGCCCAGAGCACTGGCCCTGACAAAGGCACCATGGGGATCCCAGGGAGTTTTGCCTGTGAATGCTCAGTATCGAGACCTCGAAACTTCCTGGGTCCAGAGAGAGTACAGTAGGTAGGGCACTCGCCTTGCATGTGGCCAACCCAGGTTCAGTCCCCAGCATCCCATAGGGTCTGGGCACTGCCAGGAGTGATTCCTAAGTGCAGAGCCAGGAGTGACCCCTGAGCAGTGCCACATGTGGCCCAGAGGCCGAGAGAGAGAGAGAGAGAGAGAGAGAATCTGAGAGAGAGAGAGAGAGAGACCCCAAACTTTCTATGTGAAAAGAACAGTGCAGGCAGGCCAGGACAGAGTTAAAAGCTAGGTGTATGGTATGTTTTGCATGTACAAGGCCCCAAATTCAAGCCCGGCACCACATGGCCCCAGAGCACAGCTGGGTGTGGCCCCAAGGCCTCAGCATGGCCGTCTGCGGCTCTGGCTCCCAAGCTCTGCTGGGGTGGCCACAGTGACCCCCAACATCGCTGAACCTGGGCAGCACTGCCTCAGTGGACAGAGCACCCCCTGAGTACCGCGGGGGTGGGGGGAAACCCTGCCCACAGATGGCCACTAGCAGCAGGGATGGTCGGAAGGCGCCCAAAGCTGGCCACTAGTACTTCTATTGTAGCATCCCCCTGCTGATTCCGGCTGAGGGGGCTCTGGGAGGTCAGTGAGGTGAAGCAAGGGGGTCTGTGGGGGGTGGAGCGGGCAAACAGCGACCCTATGGTGAAAACTGAACACACGCTGTCGCCTAAAGTGACGCACGGGGAAGCCCCCGAGATGCAGACAGCAAAGGAGTAAGGGGAGATGTTCCACCCCGGGACTGTCCAATCAACTGCAAGGGGAGCCCCAGGCCTGGACAGCCCCCCTCAGATGCCGGGGCCATGCTCTCACTCAAGGCCACTGCGGCCGCTGTTGGCAGGCCCACGCGAGTTTGTTTTTACTTTGTTTGGGGCCATACCCAGGGATACTCAGGGGCTACTCCTGGCTCTGCACTCAGGGATCACTCCTGGTGATGCTCGAGGGACCATATGAGATGCCATGGATTGAACCCTGGTGGTCGTCGTGTAAGGCCAACCCCCACCCCGTGCTGTCCTATTGCTCCACCCACTTCCTTTTTCTGGGTTTTGGACCACAGCCAGCGGTGCTCAGGGCTCACTCCTACTGGTGACACTCAGGGCCCTATGGGGTGCTGGCCATCAAACCCAGGTTGGTGCATACGAGGGAAGCACCCTCCCCCCCCGCCCCCCGTGCTCTCTCTCCAGTCCTCACAAGTCCATTGTTTTTCATTTGTTTTTGGTCATACCCAGTGGTGCTCAGGGATCACTCCTGGCAGGCTCTGGCTACGCTAAGGGTGCCAGGGATCAGACCCGGGTCAACCACACGCAAAGCAAGCGCCTGACCCACTGGACTTTTTCCACCGTCCCAAGTCCACTTTTAAATAAAAACCCAGGGCAGCCCAGTGGGAGAGAGTAAAGACTCTGTGCCTCAATGCTCAGAGCTGGACCAAGGCATGCAGGACCGCTGGCTGTCACCATCACCCGAACGCACTGCAGTCTGACATGCCGACTCCACACTCCATGCCAGCCCAGCGCCCAGCAGGGGGGCAGTTCTGGAGCCCCACCCGAATCCTCAGGAAGCTCCCTCTGCCCGTGGTCATCCACGACAGGTCAAGGGGCTAGCCCCCAAGAGGCCGCCTTGGACCCCTTGAGAAAGTGCTTTCACACGGAGCATCGGCTGGCTCCTCGGCTCTTCCCAAGCCAACGTGGTACATGGCCTTCTCCCCGGAGCACGGACGTCATGCAATGGGGTAACTGCGAGTCATATTGCCCAAGACACTCTGGATGCCAGACAGTCCCCCAGGAAGGCAGCTTTCCAACACCCACCGAAGGAGGCCCGCGCTACCCGGAGGCTCAGCTAAACGACTCGAAGACAATTCAGAGGCAGCACAGGGGCAAACGGGCCATCGGAGGCAACCTGGTCCTGTCAGCGAAGATGGCGCTCCTGTGCCAACTCTGCCCTCTCATGCCAGGCCCGGCCAGCTGACTCTCAGGGGACAGCAGAGAATATTCTAGCAAGTGCACCAGGCTGGTTGCAATAGAAGCGGGTGCGCTCCGTGCTCTGGGTCTCCCCCAGATGCAGAGGAGGAGGAGGAGGAGGAGGAGGAGGAGGAGGAAGGGGTGGCCACGGAGCACGCCCGCAGCACCCGCCAAAACGTGTGGTCACGCGCAGTGCCAATGGTCTCAGCAGCCACGGTCCCCAAGGTCAGGGACGCAGGGCAGGGCAGCGCTGGATGGGCCGTCAGAACTCTGCCTGCAGCACACACATCCTTGACAGTCAGTGCGTCGACACCCCACTCCCACTGGGAACCCCCAGCACCCTGACTGGAGTGCAGAGCCGGATTTCAGGAAGGCAGAGCACTGACCCCGGAATGTTCTGTTTCCAGAAACGTTTCTCAGGCTTTGGTTGTTCTCTTGGCACAAACAGAGTGACTTACCAAGAGAAAACAAAGGACCAGACCAACACTGGGGGGTGTAGCTGAGAGAGGGGAGCACCGCACAGAGGGGAGCACCACAGAGAGGAGAATCAGCATCTCAGGAGGCAAAGAGCTAGTATGGAGGTTAACAAGTGCCCAGGCAGAACGTGCCCCGCCCCCCATGCCCCAGGCAGCAGCCCCCAGGCATGGAGCTGGGGACTAGCCCCTCACACCCTGCAAGAGTTCTCTGCGTCTCCAACTCACCAAAGTGACATTCAGGAACTGAAGAGAGGCCCAGGGTCTGAGCGTCTGGACCACGAGACCTGCCTCACGCGGAGCCACTTGAGGGCCCAACCCCCGGCCCTTCTCTGGCCCTCCCGCTCAGAAGCTGTGCCAGGGGGACCTCCAAGGTGGTTCTGATGCCCACGCAAACTTGAGAACGATCGACAGGCACAGGAAGAAGAAAGCAGGTGAAGGTAGGAAATGCTGTGTGGACTTTCTGGTGTTGAGGGACATGAAAGTTAACTCTGGATGCCGAAACACACACTCTGAGGTCCAGAATCAAGGTGATGGACCTGATGATGGTGTGAGCCTTGGGGGAAAGCCCAAGGGAATTCTGCCAGGCACTAAAGGTCCCAGCACCGAAGAGTGCCAAGGCTGCCCACAATTAGCAGTTACATACCTGCGCTCATCACTTCTCTGTGCTTTAGGTGCTTGTTTTTTCAAGGTAGTATCGAAGTGTTGAATTCCCAGGAAGCGTAAGACTCTCCCAACGTAAAAGTTACCAAGGGGCCGAGCAACAGTACAGCAGGTAGGGCATTCGCTTTGCACGCGTCTGACCTGGATTCAATCCCTGGCATCCCATAGGGTCCCCCAGCACCACCAGGAGTAATTCCTGAGTGCAGAGGCAGGAGGAACCCCTGAGCATCGCCGGTGTGACCCTCCCCCCTAAAAGAAAAAAAAAAAAAACAAGACTTCAGGCGCATCACGCAGTGCACAAGCCCATTCTTGAAGCTGGGGGCCCTTCCGAGTGAGTCACTGGTTGAAGGAGAAAGGAAGTTTTTCAAAAGCCGAGTCCATTTCTTTCTGGGCTCATGAAGTTCTTAAAAGCCAGAGCCCAATGTCCAGATGTGTGGACTTTCTGGTGACGAGGGACATGAAAGGGTGTTAGTCTGTGACTTCACGGAGATGTTCAGAGGGCAACTGAGGTACTCCGGAGTAAGTTTCTGCGTTTTGTTTGCAGGCCACACCCTGGGATGCTCAGGAATTACTTCTGGCTCTGCTCTCAGGAAGTACTCCTGGCAGGCTCGGGGGACCATATGGCATGCCGGGCATCGAACCCGGGTCAGGCGCGGGCAAGGCAAGCTTCTCACCTGCTCCTGCCCCAGATCTGTAGACTGGTGACTGAAGCCAGGAGAGGTAAGACCTCAAACACTCAGCAGCACAAGCTTCACAGTAACAATGTAACTACTAAGCTAATACCGGCTTGGCAACTGTCTTACCATTCAACAACCTGTATTTGAAACTTTGATCAAAATATCCACAGTGTTTCCCCATCTGGGCCCTGCACACCCCCAGGGCTGAACAAGCAGGGGCAACTGGGGACAATTTCTGGGACAATTTCTATTAGTTCACTTAAAAAAAGGGTGGATCAAAAAATAAATAAATAACTTTTTTAAAGAAAGGGTGGATCTCCACGGGGTGATTTTTTTCTTTTTTTCTGAAAAGGGGACTGCAAGCCAAACCGGGGGGAGGAGGGGCGGCGGGCTGGCTTTTGCGCTGAGCTAGAACTGACACTGGCTGGAGTTGGAAGCTGCACAGATGGCCCTGCTAGTGGCATCTAAGTCACCCCCCGGCCCCCACGCCCCCAGCAAAGGACTCAGGGGTATCCCAAATCCACCGCAGAGAGCCACCTGCAGTGCCAGGAGGTGGTGTGGGGCCTCAGTCCGTATCAGAGCTCCATCTTAAGGCATTGTACTCAGGGGGGAACATCTGAATTCCGACACCCTAACAACGGCTGACCAGACCATCACTTTTTGCTACTTCCCCTCTAGAATGAGAGCTTGATTAGGGACAAGAAGAAACTTGAGGGCCGGAGCAGGGAGGGCGTCTTTCCTTGCGTGCAGTTGTACTGGGTCCATCTGGCACCCCATATGGTCTCCCGAGCTCCTCCAGGAGTGATCCCTGAGCACAGAACCAGGAGTCAGCCCTGAGCACCACCAGGTGTAGCACCAAAAAAGGAGAAAAATCCCAACAAAGTCCTGAGATACGTATGTATAAATGCTTGGATACAGCGACATTTTTCAAACAATTTACCCCATATAAATAGACAAGGTATAGTTTTTCAGTAATCATGTGCTTATAAAGTAAATCAGGGGCCAGAGCGATTGTACAGCTGTTAAGGTGCTTGCTTTGCACGCAGCTAACCTGGGTTCAATCCCAGGCAGCCCTCAGGACCCCCTGAGCCCCACCAGGAACGAACCGAGTGCAGAGCCAGAAGTAAGCCCTGTGCATAGCCAGGTGTGGCCCCCACACACAAACGCTACGTAAATCAGAGAAAGAATAATTTCAAATAAAGGTAGACCATTTGCCCATCAACTTAAATGAGAAAAAAGTGAGTCGTGCAAACTAAAATATATTAAATCGTTACCAGCTGATTTGAGGGAAAGGCCGGCAGCTGACTATACACAGGTAAACATAAACTACAGGTTTGAAAGCTACTGTTTATTTGTGCATGTCTGCTGCTACTTAAATGACAACTCTAATACAAATCGAATGAATCTCTCCCAGGGAGATCTATGAGGAGCTTACAGGGGATTACCTTTTAAAAAATTATGTGATTTACAGGGGAAGATACACGGGCCAGGCTAAAGGTCACCAGTTTGCTTAGCTTTAGAAAGCCACAGCATTGAGTCCCGCTAGTCAGAACGGTTCACTGAAGCCCCAGAGGAACCCGGACGCAGATACCGAGACTTAACCATACTCTGATGTACAGCCTGCCTCCAGTTCCCCGAACGGGTAAGCTGAGATAACCCAAGTGACAGTCAAAAGCAGGAAACTGCCTCAACCTTAGAAGAGCTCAGAGGGGCGTCTGTGCTGCTGAGCGTGGCTTCTCTGCGCCCAAGAATATCCAATTAATTCCAGGAAAAGCTCCTTTCCATCAGGCCGGGCTGGGAACCCCCAAAAGGACATGCCTGCACCTTAACGAGGTTTGAGGGAAGACAGATCTGGAAAATCAAGGCCCTCTGAGCTTCCCAAACTCCCCCTCTCCACTGACACACCAGGACTAGGAGCTATTTTAAGCCAGGCTTCTGCGATGAATTATACATTAAAAGAGAAACAGCCAAACTGAAACTTTAAGCCACTGGCCTCAAACTCTGGCACGGGCCACCGTCACCTGTGACTCCCTCCAGCACCGCGCCCCCAGGCCTGCTGGGCCCAGACAGCGGCAGGCAGGCAGCTCGACAGCTCCGTTCGGACCCTGTCGCTATCTGCAAGCAGGGCCCAGAAGGCACTTATCTGATCCGCCTGGGAAGGCGGTTCCGGCTCCTCTGGCCCGTGAGACCCGCGGGGACCGGGGGCGGCGGCCACCGCACGCGGGGCAAGTACAACTGAGGCCGGACCGGCCCCCACCCCGCTCCGCTCTCCAGAAACGAGACAAAGGCTGGCACGGGCTCGTCTCCCACGCAGGAACCCGGGAGCACCCGGGCCCCGATGCCACCAGGAAATGCACGGAGCAAGGCGCGCTGACCTCATCCTGCCTCCCGGGCACGGGCGCGGGAGATGTTAACTTCGGTGAGAGGATATTTCCCATTTCCATCTTCCAGAAATACCCCGAGGTCCGGTTCCCCGTCGCCCGCCGCGGCCCCCGCCCCCAAGCCCGGCCGGGAATCACAGGTGGTTGCGGCGGGCCGGGCGCCGCCGCCGGGAGCGTCCGGGCGCCGCGGGGAGCGTCCAGCCCCGCTGCCCCGCGCCGGGCCGGGCCGCCGGGGGTCTCGCACAGCCCCCTGCGGAGAGCGCGGGCCGCTCCCACCCGGCCGTCGGCGGAGACGCAGCCCCGCGCGGCGCCGGGCGGGCGGCGTCTGGGCACCCCGAGCGGAGCGGGGGCGCCGCACGCGCGGACTCGCGGCCCGGTGCTCCGGCTCCTCCCCCGCCGGTGCTCCCGGCGCGGGGGAGCGGGAGCGACCGCGGGGCCGCCGGGCCCAGCCGCCCCCCGGAGCCGCCTCCCGCGGCGGAGACACAAAGGACGCGGCGGCCCCGCAATGAATGAACGCGCGGCCGGCGGGGCGCGGGGCGCGGGCGGGGGCGCGGGGCCGGCAGTCGCGCCCCCGCCGCCGCCCCACTCGAGCCCCCGCGCGCCCCGCGCCCCCCGCCCCGCGGACACGGGCCCCCGACCCGGGCGCCCGCCCGACGCCCCTGCCCCGCGCCGCCCGCCCGCGCGCCCCTGCCCCCGCCCGCGCGCGCGCCCCGGGCCGGGCCGGGCCGCCAGGGCCGCCCCGAGCCGTCCGGGCGCCGGGGCAGGGGCGACAGCCCCGTCCCCACGCCCGCCGCCTCCCCCGCGGCTGTTTACCTCACAGTCCCTCCAGCCTACAGGGCGCCGCCATCTTGGACGGACGGCGCCTCCCCCCGGCGTGACAAGACCGCGGCCGCCGCCGCTTCCGCCGCGAAAAGTAGTCCCCAGCGGGCGCGCGCATCCCGCGCGGCCGCAGGCGCCGACGACCGCGCCTGGCGGCCACGCTGCGCGGAAGCGGCCGCCCGGCCCATGATGGACGGCGAACACCCGGCCAGGAGGGCCCCGGGCGCGTTTGGAAGGTGGAAGGGGGCGGGGACCGGCGGAAGGATCCCCGAGGCGGCCGCCGGGTGATCTTGTGACTCCGAAGGAGGCAAAAAAAGAAGGGCCGGCCGGTGGGCGTGTCCACGCGGCGGCGCGAGGGGCGGGGCGGAGGTCACGTGGGCGCCGGGGCGGGGCCGGCCAGAGGCGTAAACAAGGCCGGCGGCTGGGTGTGGCCGGGCCGCCCGCTACCCGCACCCCCGGCGCCCGGCTCTGCACCGCCGGCGCCCGGCCAGGCTCTCCGGGCCCGACCTGAGCCTGCTCGGGGCCACTGGGCCGCGTGTGGGTAAAGGTCTGCGGGGAGTCTCCGACGTCCCTAGGGAAGGCGGCGCAGCGGCGCAGCGGCGCGAGGCCGCCTGGTGCCCGGGCGCTGTTTGCAGACGCTGACCCCTTCGGCTGGGCAGGACGCCCCGCGTTCCTCAGCAGAGGAGGCAGCCTTCAGCTCAGAGCCCCTTAATTCAGGCGCCGCCCTGCCGCTTCCCAACGGCGAACCCTGGCAAGTGTCTAGGGCCCGTGGGCCTCAGTTTCTCACCCCGTGAAGTGGGCAGCGGCCAGGGGGGCAGGGCCTCCAAAGGACCCAGGCTGGGGGCGGTTTTTCCCCTTGGGTGCGAGGACCACCCATGGCGGTGTTCAGGGCTGACCCCTGGCACTGCACTCTGGGGTGCCGGGGGTCGACCCGTGGTAGGCGTGGTGCAAGGCAGACTCCCTTCCCGCTGTAGTGCTCCCCGCCTGAAGTCGCACGTTCCGTCGGGAAAGCAGCTGGTCAGGGTGCCTGTGTGAGGGAGGGGGCTGGGGTGTGCCCAGTGGGAATGGCAGTCCTGCCGTGGGCTCTGCCCACGCGGAGCCAGCCCCACCCCTCCGGGGAA